AGTTGATCAAAAAATTTTTTTTTTGCAAATGGGTTGCAGGAGGTTTGCAGTTGATCAAAACAATTTATTATTGCAGGTGGTTTTCAGTTAATTAACAGGAGGTTTGCAGTTGATCAAAAACATTTATTTTTGCAAATGGGTTGCAGGAGGTTTGCAGTTGATCAAAAAAATTTATTTGTGCAGCTGGTTTGCAGTTGATCAAAAAAATTTATTTTTGCTGGTAGTTTGCAGTTGATCAAAAAGTTTATTTTTGTTGGTGGTTTGCAGTTGATCAAAAAATTTTATTTTTGCAGGTGGTTTGCAGGAGGTTTGCAGTTGATCAAAAAAATTATTTTTGCAGGTGGTTTGCAGTTGATCAAAAAAATTTATTTTTGCAGGTGGTTTGCAGGGGGTTTGCAGTTGATCAAAAAATTTATTTTTGCAGGTGGTTTGCAATTGATTTGCAGTTGAGGAGTTTAATTCAATAAATATTAAGAAAAGATGAAACTAAAAAGCCGTTTTATCGTTTGTAAAAAGGTTAATATTACAAATTAGAATTGAATTCAATCGAATAAAATATTAATTAAATAAAATCAAAGATCATCAAATAATTTTTGGAAATTTAAAAGAATAAATAAAAATTTGCAGTTGATTTGCAGATCATCAAAAACAATTGCAAATTTTTATTTATTCTTTTAAATTTCCAAAAATTATTTGATGATCTTTGATTTTATTTAATTAATATTTTATTCGATTGAATTCAATTCTAATTTGTAATATTAACCTTTTTACAAACGATAAAACGGCTTTTTAGTTTCATCTTTTCTTAATATTTATTGAATTAAACTCCTCAACTGCAAATCAATTGCAAACCACCTGCAAAAATAAATTTTTTGATCAACTGCAAACCCCCTGCAAACCACCTGCAAAAATAAATTTTTTTGATCAACTGCAAACCACCTGCAAAAATAATTTTTTTGATCAACTGCAAACCTCCTGCAAACCACCTGCAAAAATAAAATTTTTTGATCAACTGCAAACCACCAACAAAAATAAACTTTTTGATCAACTGCAAACTACCAGCAAAAATAAATTTTTTTGATCAACTGCAAACCAGCTGCACAAATAAATTTTTTTGATCAACTGCAAACCTCCTGCAACCCATTTGCAAAAATAAATGTTTTTGATCAACTGCAAACCTCCTGTTAATTAACTGAAAACCACCTGCAATAATAAAATTTTTTGATCAACTGCAAACCTCCTGCAAACCACCTGCAAAAATATAACTTCTCAACTGCAAATCAACTGCAACCCATTTGCAAAAATAAAATTTTTTAATCAACTGCAAACCTCCTGCAAATTAACTGCAAACCACCTGCAAAAATAAATTTTTTTTTATCAACTGCAAACCACCTGCAAAAATAATTTTTTTTGATCAACTACAAACCTCCTGCAACCTATTTGCAAAAATAAATGTTTCTGATCAACTGCAAACCTCCTGTTAATTAACTGAAAACTACCTGCAATAATAAGTTGTTTTCAAAACTGCAAACCTCCTGCAACCCATTTGCAAAAATAAAATTTTCGATCAGCTGCAAACCACCTGCAAAAATAAAATTTTTTGATCAACTGCAAACCACCTGCAAAAATAAAATTTTTTGATCAACTGCAAACCTCCTGCAAACCACCTGCAAAAATAAATTTTTTTGATCAACTGCAAACCACCTGCAACCCATTTGCAAAAATAAAATTTTTGATCAACTACAAACCTCCTGCAAATCAACTGCAAAGCACCTGCAAAAATAATTTTTTTTTATCAACTGCAAACCACCTGCAAAAATAAAATTTTTTGATCAACTGCAAACCTCCTGCAAACCACCTGCAAAAATAAATTTTTTTGATCAACTGCAAACCTCCTGCAACCCATTTGCAAAAATAAATGTTTTTGATCAACTGCAAACCACCTGCAAAAATAAAATTTTTTGATCAACTGCAAACCTCCTGCCAACCACCGGGAAAAATAAAACTTCTCAACTGCAAATCAACTGCAACCCATTTGCAAAAATAAAATTTTTTGATCAACTGCAAACCTCCTGCAAATTAACTGCAAACCACCTGCAAAAATAAATTTTTTTTTATCAACTGCAAACCACCTGCAAAAATAAATTTTTTTGATCAACTGCAAACCTCCTGCAACCTATTTGCAAAAATAAATGATTCTGATCAACTGCAAACCTCCTGTTAATTAACTGAAAACTACCTGCAATAATAAGTTGTTTTGATCAACTGCAAACCTCCTGCAACCCATTTGCAAAAATAAAATTTTTGATCAACTGCAAACCTCCTGCAAATCAACTGCAAAGCACCTGCAAAAATAATTTTTTTTTCAACTGCAAATCACCTGCAAAAATAAAATTTTTTGATCAACTGCAAACCACCTGCAAAAAATAAAATTTTTTGATCAAATGCAAACCTCCTGCAAACCACCTGCAAAAATAAATTTTTTTGATCAACTGCAAACCACCTGCAAAAATAAAATTTTTGATCAACTGCAAACCTCCTGCAAATCAACTGCAATGCACCTGCAAAAATAATTTTTTTTATCAACTGAAAAATCACCTGCAGAAATAAAATTTTTTGATCAACTGCAAACCACCTGCAAAAATAAAATTTTTTGATCAACTGCAAACCTCCTGCAAACCACCTGCAAAAATAAATTTTTTTGATCAACTGCAAACCACCTGCAAACCACCTGCAAAAATAAAACTTCTCAACTGCAAATCAACTGCAACCCATTTGCAAAAATAAAATTTTTTGATCAACTGCAAACCTCCTGCAAATTAACTGCAAACCACCTGTAAAAAATAAATTTTTTTGATCAACTGCAAATCACCTGCAAAAATAAAATTTTTTGATCAACTGCAAACCTCCTACAAACCACCTGCAAAAATAAATTTTTTTGATCAACTGCAAACCTCCTGCAAACCACTTGCAATTGATCAAAAAAAATGCAAGTTTGCAGTTGATCAAAAAGTTTATTTTTGTTGGTGGTTTGCAGTTGATCAAAAAATTTTATTTTTGCAGGTGGTTTGCAGGAGGTTTGCAGTTGATCAAAAAAATTATTTTTGCAGGTGGTTTGCAGTTGATCAAAAAAATTTATTTTTGCAGGTGGTTTGCAGGGGGTTTGCAGTTGATCAAAAAATTTATTTTTGCAGGTGGTTTGCAATTGATTTGCAGTTGAGGAGTTTAATTCAATAAATATTAAGAAAAGATGAAACTAAAAAGCCGTTTTATCGTTTGTAAAAAGGTTAATATTACAAATTAGAATTGAATTCAATCGAATAAAATATTAATTAAATAAAATCAAAGATCATCAAATAATTTTTGGAAATTTAAAAGAATAAATAAAAATTTGCAGTTGATTTGCAGATCATCAAAAACAATTTTGAGAAGTTTTAAAGAATAAATAAAAATTTGCAGTTGATTTGCAGGTGAGAATTTTAATTCGATTGATTTTAAGCAAAAGTATAGTAGATGAATAATGCAACTTATTTAAATGAGCTAATATGAAAAAGCGAAGTTGAATTTGATCCAATTTTAAAGTTTTAACATTGTTAAAGTACAACAAACAAATTGGAAAATTTAAAATTTATTCAAACGGTCGAAATCATTAAAGCACTGTTTTTACATCACAGGCTAATGAATTACTGCGAGAATTGTTTGAAGTTGCTTTAAAAGCAGAAAAAAAACATCTTTACTAAAAAAGCAGGACCAAACAAACAACCTTTCAGATATGATGTGATTTTTGTAAAACGTATTTTTTAAAAAAAAAACTTCGATTTACAAAAGAAAACCTCAACTGCAAATCTCCTGCAAATTAACTGTAAAAAATATTTTTTTGTTCCAAATGCGTTTCCGCCAGAAAAACTTTTGTTTTTATAAATGTACACATTAAAAGAAATAAGAAAACACTTTTAAAATCAAAAATAAAAGGGTGCCTCATCTCGTCCAGTTTAGCCCATTGTTTTTTAAAAACATTTAATTCGAAAAACCAACAAGCGTCTGTGCTGTGCTGTAAAGCTACAAAGTATTAAAAATGAAAATCGAATAAAGCAATCGGAGTAAAGTACCTAAAGCTGATTAGAAAATTCATTCACAAATATTAATAATGGTTTTGATGTTGTTTAATTTCCTAAAGTAATTCCATTGTACTGACCGAAAACAATCTTTATGTTCCAAAGATTAATTATTAAATTAATCGATTGGTTTTTCATAATTGGCTAATAATTAAATCGCACAAGCACAAAGAGTAGCGAACAGAAAAAAAATGCTGTTACAAGATTAAAGGTTGGAGAATGAAGTTCACACAACAATGTTATGCTGTTTTATATGAGCGATTTACGATATAGTTAATGACCTAGAGATACATAAAGCAGATTAAATAGTTCACGATCATAGTGATTAAGCTTTTTTGTAAAGCACGAGCAATACCGTAGGAAGTTAATCAATTGTAGCAAACGTTTACTGAATATCGACGTCTATGAAATATTGACGCTTTAAAATATTAAACAGCTTTTCAAAGCATCTTTGCTCTCTAATGTGTTAATAATTTTGCTTCAACTAATTAGATGTAAAATCTTCAACTTTTTAATGCAAAAACTTAAGCTTTCTACACCATTTCCGGGTAATCATATTTGTCGCTAAATGGTCATGTTTAATTAATGTATCCACACAATTTGCAAAAACTAAGTCTAATTAGGCTGTTATTCACAAAAGTTCATTAACCGCTATTTCAGTTTGGTTTTTTAAATTCTCAAATTTTAGAAAACCGTTACATATTCAAATTTTCAATAATATTTTAAAATTAAAATGTTAAAAAAGATATTTTATTTTAGTCTGAATGCATTAATTATCATTACACGTGCCTAAGATCTCTCACTCACACTTAATACATTGAGAGAGATTATCTGAAAATGAGTAATAGACAATTAACAACTCTGAGAGATATTAGAAATTGATATTTCCAATTTAAAATATTTTATTATTGTTGTTATTATAATTTATAATTATTATCAGTTGTAGCATTTTTGGATTTTAGCATTTCAAATAATAGAAATCAAAATTTAACAATCCTTTATATTTTTTCAGTCTAGTGTGAAGTCAGTCAGAAAGTTTAGCAAACAGACATTATTTAGTGAACTTTATAATCTAATTTCACGAGAACTTCACACTAGTCTTATATTTTTTGAGAATTCAAATTCAGTTGAATTGAACCGAAAAAAAAATAATTTATTATTTTCAGTTAACATGCTGAATAGTTCAATGTCAGGCAATCCCGAATGATTTAATTTTTAATGATGAAATCAAAGAAAAATAAATGAGTTAATATAATGGAATTATAATATTTGTTTTTTTGTCGTCTATGAAATAATTAATAATAAAAATCCGTATTATTTTTCATCAAAATTTTTCATCTTCATTCAGCTTCATTTTTCTTGAACTATGCTATTTTCTTATCCTTTCATTTTTTTTGATTTTTAATTTAATTAAGATTTGATTATTTTTCATATTTCTGTAAAAATGTTGTAAGATTTGTTTTTTTTTTTTTTATTTCTTTAAAGTTCCACAATAAAATACCACGAGAGAACAAAATGACAAGAAGATTTAAGCGTTTCTTTAACCTATGATTTTTGCTCTTGATTTACTACTCCTGACTGAACTGTGTTTGTTGGCTGTACTGTATTATTGACAATTTTTCCAATCTCATTTTCCGAATCAGGAAGATCGTTTTCTAGTATTGTAGCACTCGTCATTGTGCTACTCGTTTCCTCTTCACATTCCTGTACAAAAATAATGTCATTGAATTAAATGATATTATGCTTTATAGACATTAAAATGTTACCTGAACTTGACGCGTCTTTAGAATCTTCATTGTACCGAGTTTTTCTGTAATTCTATTTAAAGCTTCTTCATCTGTTGCCACTTCAGTATTACTTGATTGTGGTTCAGTGCTTGTAACAGATGGAGAATTTGATACAATTTCATTCGTGGTTTCTTTGATGACCTTTGTGTTTGGCTGCTGTGGGTATTCCTCATTTGTTTCAACTTCCGAGTCATTTGGTTCCTCTTGTTCCTAAATAGCAATTTAATGATCATGATGTGTCTATAATTAGAAATTAAAAAGTTTCTTACCTCTTCTGGACAGAGTTCGAATGCCATTTGCAGTATATTTTTAGCAGATTGAGATCGTTCAAGTACAAAACTGTTGGTATTTTCGTTAGACTGAGCTGGCGGTGACCACGAACTATAGTTATATTGACTAGCTACACCACGTTGTCTTTCCAGCTCATCGTGAAGCCATTCAACAGCATGAGACCATGCTTGTGCTATCGTTGGATTTCCATGCAGCATATTCAATGCGACTGGACTCTTTCGAAATAGATGAACTAAACACTTTATACACTGATAAGCTCTTTTTTGATAGTTCAGTCGATTACGTTGGATCGTTTCAAGAAGGCCTTCACGATCTTCAGGGAAACCTAGAATCAAATAAAATTTTCCATCCATAAAAAATATTTTAAGAAATTAACGTTCACTTACCTATTAATGCATTATGAATTCTATGATGTTGCCATGAATCTTCAATCAGTAGAATGTGCAACAATAAATCTGTATGATGACGCATATCATGCCAATACGCAAAACCACAATGCCATAAAAGTTCAGTAAGTAAGGCTTGTGAAAATTGAGGATTCTCCCAACTGCAGTACTGCAACAATTTTACGCCTTCTTCTCCGACATTCGTGTCTTCGATAAGCTTTTTAATATAGCTAAATGCAAAAAAAAAAATTGCCATTAAATTGTCAGCACGCAAATTAAAAGTTTTTAAAAAATAATACCTTGTTCGGTTTAATAGCAGTTCCTCAGCTTCGCCAGACAACGGCAACAACTGATCATATGGAACCTTTGGATCCACATAAATGTTTGGCTTTATTGGTATATCTCTCGAAGAACTTTGGCAACGCGATGAGATGTCACTAGATCTTACAAGAATTGATACACATTGATGTAGTTTTTGAAGTTCAGGATACTGATACTTAATTGGTGGCCCTGGGCCTTCATCTAATGCAACTTTCATAAATATTGCAGGAACGTTGAGCTAATAACATCACAAAAATTGAGATTCTTTTTAATATTTATAGCAAGTAAAGTTCTTACCTTCAAGAGTTGATGTCGCTCATGAACGCCTAATCCTGCATATGTTAAGAATAAGCTAAAGAAATGTGGTAAATGTTTACCATAATCTGAAGCTTCTAAGATCAACAATTTTAGAACAGCATGAAGAACTTGTTCACATAAATTAGAACCATCATAATTCGGGAGTGGTTCATCTTGACTAGCAAAATGACAAAAGAAAACGACAATTTTCACGAAAATTGTACGAATATCCAATGACGATGCAACAAGTATGTATTCAGCCAAACGATTTGGTGGACTTAAGAGAGCATTTTGTGCGAACCATCGTCGAACTAACACTGAGTGCCTTATGTGTGGACTGATTGCTTCAAACCTGCGAAAAAGTAAATTAAAAATTGGCAATCAAAACATGTTAATGTGAAATGATTGGTCAAAAAAATATAAACTTACCATTCTATTGCAGCACCACGAAGAGTTTTCTTAGTCTTAAATCCAAATTGAAATAAAAATTGCGATGCAAGCTGGATAGACAACAGCGACAGTTCCTCAGTAGTTGATGTCTAAAAATAGACAGAGAAATTTTGTTTAGCATAGAGAACAAAGGAATTTTATAAGCAAAATAAATATTTACAATTTTTTCTATTCTCGCAGGAATGCTACAGCTCACCAAATTCCTTATAAATCCAAAAAATTCCGATGAGAATAAACTTCTAGCATGAAGGAATCGAATATTTTGAAATCTAAGACTTTTCTCAATTGGAGCCGGCATTGGCAAAATGCAGTTTTTACTCTCAGCTAATGACAACTGTTCAATACATGGTTTGTAAATTGTTTGATTATGGTCGATTCTCGTGTAAAAAAGCATGTAAGCATTCCACCATCTTTTTTGTCTCCTAAATTGCATCCGTTTCAAATTGTTATCGTAAACTTCTCCCATATAATCACCACCAAAGCATTGAGCTTTTAGCTCTTCATCTTCGTGCATTTTACATTCGCTGACTTCTCCATCGTCAAATTTATACCATTGCTCTGCACCATTTTCATTTCTGACAAATTAAAGTGATTAAATAGTGCTATTAAATATAATTCACTTGTCAAAAAAATTCAATTATGTACATACTTGTGTAAAATGTAGCTATAATAATGTCCTCCAGATGCTTGTCCCGAATGAACGACGATTCCAGTTAATTGATATTTTGTTGGTTGACTTTCTTCTTCGCCTTCTTCAAGATCTACAATTTCACCTTCCATTTTCGCCAAGCCAGATACTAAAGATAATAATAAGCAAGATAAATTACTTCCAGCACCGACTTAATTAATCAATTTGTCAAAATATTACCTGTATAAGGTTCCATGTCAAGAAAACGAGGGAATTCAAAATAGTCATTGAATTTTATGGCACATACCCTTTCGTAATCATATTCGAAACGTTTTAATTGTATTGCAAGTACCGGTGGCAATTTCCGTACGCATGTTCGCTTTACTGTAACAACTTTCTTATCACATTTATCGCAATGATACGCATCAGCACCTTCCAAAAGTTCTCCCTTAACATACTGCTCGAGTGAATCAGTTAATGAACTATGATTTCGAATATCTATACTGAATGCACTAAATGGTTCCTCTTTAGAATATCGATGTGGACACTCTTGACAGATTTTCTGATCACTAAATAAACCACCTAAAGTTGCTCCCATCAATTGAGAATGTCCGAGAGCCTTTAATCCTTCGTCTAGGCTTTCAAAAAGTGACATGAAAAACTCAACTGCATCTTGTTGCTCTCGTAAATTTACAGGCTCTCCTTGTAGTCTATAAATGTTCAGATAGCTGCTATTAAACTGTCACAAAAACTTGATTAAATTAAATTTGCTTACTTAAAATGAGTCCAAAGTCCTCTCGGAATATAAAATTGCAATGCACTATGACTGAGATGAGCGAAAATTGCTTGCACGTGTTTCAGAATTCCAACATTATAACTTTTTCTCCCACTGCTATCCTCTTCATTTCCAACAGACTGAAAATTTCAAAAATATATTATTTTTTTCGATTATTGTCAATGAATTTAAAGCACTTACTCTATTTTCCATTTCACCACTAAAATCCTCGTTTGGATCATTACATGCACCTGAGAATAAAGAACATTTCATTAACATTCCTTATCATTTTAAAATAGGGATCAATTCACATATTACATTACAAAATGGTATATAATATGAGGTCGACCCAAATGACTACTAACCAGACGCTCCTAAAATGCCTAATCTAAGTGATGGAACCATGAAGAGCTGCTGTATAACAGAATTCATGTAGCATGTTGCTCCTGCATTTTTTAAACCGCAGAATCCACCTTTTAGACGCGGTCCAACAGCTGGCAAATACTCCCATTCTTGTAAAGGTTCTACTTCTAGATTATTAAACAATTAGTAAAAACAAAATAAATTTAAGGATAAGATAAGGAAACTTACCAAAGCAGAACATGTCCAATAATGTGTTGACGAGTAATTTCATGTTGGGCACTGAATTGGTGCAGAGAGCAACCAATAGATCACAAGCAGCTGAAATTGTATGTGGATTTCGACATACTGGTGGTGGAGCATTCAAATCGGGCAAATTTGCTTTTCGTCGGTAATATAAATACTGTTTAGATGCGGGGAATATGAAATCATCGACAATCTCCACAATCAGATTACTAAGTTGTGGCTTAACTTCAAAACTTAAATAAGACATTAGGTCTTTAGTTAAATTTAATCTTCCTTCTAGTAAGTCATCGTGAACACCAGTTTCACCAGTCAGTTTAACATTATCGCGAATCGATCGTATCCATTCAATTTCTTGCATCAAAAGATTATCACATGTTTTAAGAGGCCAACTATAACTACATCCGAATCGAAGCACTCTACAAAATAATTGAAAGAACTCACTACACGTTGCCGAGTATGTTGTTACTTTTGTCTTAAGTATTTCAATCAGTAATTTCACCATAAATATAAAAGGACGCTTGTCACTTGAACAGTATGTACACATGTAAAAAATTTGTTCACTAGCAGTTTGACGTATGTGACGAGATCCGTTGATTAGAACAAGAGATGTTATGAAATTTGACCAGTTTGGATCGCGACTTAATGCTTCATAGCCATTATGATTTAATACTAGACCAAAACAGAGAACTTCTAAAGCCTCCTTACACACGGCAAAATCTAATGCCTCTGGCAGTCCATTTTCATTTCCCAATTCACTTGGTGACGTTAAAAGATGAAATGAGCTTGTTGATGCAGCCCATGATAAATGTACAAGAGATTTTAATGTGGATACATCCGGTAATGACCATTGTAATGCAGATGCAAAAAGTGTTCGACAATTTTCTCCTTCTGGACTCTCACTCAGCATTTCATCGGAAATGTTTTGTGCAAGTTTAGATGCAATTGCTCTCATTGTATGATCAGAATTACACACAATTGTCGACAAAGTTTGCTTCAAAATCTCAACTTGAGTACGAATACCATCCATTGGAAGTGGCTCATCACCAACACGACTCAATACATAACCCATAATGAATAGAAATAATTTAACTAATTTTAAAACACATTGATAGGCAGCACGTTTGCAATAGACATCAGCTTTTGGCATAAAATTATTCTTTGTAAGCAAATCCAAAATGAAATGTGCCACACCCGAATGAAGCCATGCTAATTGTAATCTCATGGTGCTATCACTATGCGGATCCAATGCTGGCATTAATAATGCTTGTAGAACTTCTAGATTATACAACACGTGTGCTGCGTCTGGTGACAAGAACAATGATTCAGGAAGTAAGCCATCGCCCATTTGATTATCAGATTTTTCACCCATTCCAAAAAACTTGTTGATGCACATTTGATTAATTTGCGAGACAGTCAGACTATCTAATGGAAGTAAATGGAGTAAAGTTCTTGCACATTCACGCAAATTATTATGCTGTAATTCACTTCCCAATTGATGAATTTGTAGAAAGAATTCAGTGTATTGATGTTTTGTCGAAATTATGACGCCTGGCAATGTTGTTTCCGATTCCGTTCTTTGTAAATCTAAACATGGCCGTGGTGGAGATCCAGTTGAACTTGTCGAGCTTGAACTGTCTGGTGAACTAGCGAGAGCTGTTCCCAAAGGCGATAACTTAACATTTATTACAGTTTTATCACGAATATTATACATTGATAAAGGATGACGATCGTCAGAAATTTCAATTAATTCTCCATTATTATTAAACAAGTCAATTTTTATGTTATTTATAGATGTTCCCTTTAAGCGCTTCAATAGATTTCGCTTAAAGGATATGACTGTTTCATTTGTATGTGTTGTTACTTCAATATCATCGAGTTGACGTCCATTCGTTTGAAATCGGATAAAAAGACAAATGTGCTTACCGCGTGATGCACGACTAAGACTCAAGCACATTCGTTCGCCGGTAAACACTCTATCACATTCTTTTATATATTCATGCATTACTCGCAAGATACGGCAAATAACATCTGCTTCCATAATTTTACGTGCTTCCAACTCCTTGTGCTCCTTTGATGACTCCTCAAGTGCCTTCTTTATCATTAATATTCGATCGTAACTTATCCTTATTTTATCACAACAATCACTAATGAAGTTTTCATGAAACTCGGCTATATTCTCTTGTAAGCGTGGTCCAAGCGCCGTAGACACTTCTTTTAACAATTCAATAGCTTTATATGCTATCTCGTCACCACTTAATGTAATTACACGCCACAAATAGTCCTTTCCAATTAAATCTTCGTCATCTAAAACATACCCACGATGTTTCTGCTTTAATTTCTCTTCCTTTGAATTGACTGCTTTGAAAAATCTTTCGAAGCACTTAATTCCGCTTTCTGTCAACAATTGTGGATCTAATTGAAGAATATTGTTCTCAAAAAATTCCTTATTAATTCCAGGATCTAAATCAGGCTCATCTCCCATTAATTTTCCAAACCATCGAAAGCATTCTTCACGATCACTTTGAAATGCAGCATTAACGGCTAAACATTGCCAAATTTGTTTTGCTTGATCGGCACAAAGCCACAATTGACCATCCTTTAAGAGGAATTTGAGAAAATCCAAACGTTCTTGAATTTGCTGAGGATGTGGATAACGTTTATCGAGCAAAATCTCCATCGGTTTCAAATTTTTGTTTGTCCTAACTAGTTCACGAATTTTTTCCATATATTTGGTTAGGCTATTGGTTACGAGAATCACGAGCATATGATCATTTTGTAAACGATCTATGACATGTTGACGATTAGACATTGAATGAATGCGTGGAACATGATTTGGAGTCGGCTCATACAAACAACAAATTTCACGAATGAGTCTTAGTGCTGGCAGCACCCAATCGTCGTTTGATTTCAATTCTTCAACACATTTATTCAACCAAATTGGCTTTTGAGCATCTTTATCCTGAGAGCAGCTATAATCAAGTATCTTTACATGCGAAGCTAAAGCCTGATCTAAAACTTCTGGTGGAACTTCGGGACTATGTGCTAATGACCAGAATAGTTTTAAAACCTTGTCTGCCATCACTCCATTCTTGTCATCCTCAGCTAATCGTCTATTCAGTTCTAAAAGTCTCTCGCGTTGCTTCTTGTTGGCTGTTTTCATGCTCGTCTACAAAGTATTATAGAATTATTAGCAAACGTAAGAATATGGCAATTTAAGAAATGTAAAAATGACTCACCTGAAAGCATTCAAATAAATAGTCGAGTTGTTCAGCATTGAAATCCCATGCAAGTTTTGCTAATAAATCGTGCACATTCTTAACGATGGCTTCATGCTTTCCAGCTTGTGAGCGCCAAACAGCAGCGAGATCATCTAACGTGAGAGTTTTTTCCTTAATCAGAAACCTTAGGATTTTTTCGAGTTTCTCAACGTATTGAGGCTGATGGAGTGAGTCCTTTAATACAATCCCTAAAACATCCGTCTCTTTTATCCATTTTGCCATCTTTTCTGCAGTCAAGGTGTCAACTTCGTCATCAGATTGTTGTCGATGAGGATAATAGCACACATAACTCAAGAGCTTATTTATCTCGTTGAGTGCATTCATTTTGCCATTAAAACTAGATATTTGTAAGACTCTCAAGATGATTTTAAGGCGACACATTTCCAAGTCTTTAATTAAATTTTCAGCATTCGGAGAATGACTCATGAGTAAACGAGACGACTTAATAATACCATTGACTAAATCATTCTTGCCTTCCAATTTCGCATCACGCTTCAATTCGTCGTCACTTAAATTATCAAGAATTTCTATGAGCGGTTCCCAAATTGGCTGGAAATATTTCTCTATTGTTTTTTGCGTGAGAAGTTCATGACATTGAGCGAAAGGACGTAACAGCAAATGAATTACGGGTAATGTTAATTTACTATTTTCTTCCAACAATAAACTCGTACTTGTGCTATTTGTTCCACTCGACGATATTGTTGATGTCTTCATTTTTGATGCCTCTTCGCTTAAGCTTAATGACGATGTACATCCTGAAGATGTTTGAGGAATATCAGCAAGTTCTTCTGTTGTTGACGGTGATTTATTCTTAATCATTAGTGCTATTCCAGAATTAAATCGCTCTAGGAAATTGTCAAAACCACCAAATTGTCCAAATCGATTAATTAAATCCACCAGCCATCCGCGTGCTTGACGAGGTTCTATTGGAGATTTTGCAAATGTTTGATTATCTAGCAATGTTCCCCATAATCCCTCGACAGACGCTCCTTGGACTGAAAACAATTCAGATTGTCGAGCAGCATTGTGAGTATGAAATTTATTTTCTGCATCTAAAACAATCGCCAACAAGTCCAAAAGACATGGATTATCAATTTTCATATGAAGTGCACACAAATGTAACAATTTTCCACAAAGCATCAATATATTATTGTGAATGTTTAACTTCCAGGAACTAACAGCATCATCCGTTAATATCTTGGTAAATGACACAGTCAATCCATCTCGATAAAAACGCACACACGGTTCACATTCATAATCTACGCCTGCCTGAGACAACTTGATCGCATAATTCAACAGACATTCCAACTCTTGATCTGGCAATACTGGAACAACCCATCGTGGACTATTGATCTTACTATTAAGAGAGTGAAGCTTGGCGACAGGAAAACTTGCAATTAGATCTTCGGGTGATCTGAAAGTGTCACACGAGAAGGAAATAAAATAAAATAATAAATAGAAAAGATTATTATCAGTGATTAATAATTACAATTCATTCTGTTCGGATGTTGTCGCTTCAGACTGCTGCTGATTTGCTTGTTGTTGACTCTCTGATGATGCGTCCGTCGTGGTTGATCTTACACCTGATGATCGGGTGTCGTAAGTCATAATTAAATGACAAACAAGTTGTTGTGCAGTGATTAATGAAGAATTTTACTAATTTTAATGTTTATATTAACTCTTGAATTCTTCTCTTTAGACAGTATCATTGAATTTGCAGCTTCTGCTCATGTTATGACTGAAGCAACCTATAAATAAATCATGATATCACTTTAGTACTTAGTGTCACTTAAACTATAGATAAAAAAGTTATTATGGAATTTCTGAGTAGGCTAATTCCTTTGATAAAGTCGATTAATGCTCTTTATTGACCAGAACTTCGCATTCATAAATAATAAAAACAAAGGATAATTGAATTAACAAACTTTTTCATTGTCTCAAAAATAATATTAAAGCCGTGACAAACTTATTTTTGCTAGATGAATAGTAATACAAGAATTACATTCATAATTTTCTATTCTACGCATTATACAGTAAGGCACGGAGAAAGAGGGAGAGAGAGTGAAAAGGAAAGAAAAAATGACATCGATCGATATTTAAGTAAATTTTTTGGACAACTCGCAATTCTAGACTTTAAAAATAAGGCTATAAGCTTGGGAAAAGGAGATGATATTGAGCTAGCTATTATGTGATCCTGTCATTATTTTCCACAGAAATTTCGATATTATCGACATCACTTTTTTCGTCACAACTTTTTTTTTTCCATTATGATTCGGAAAAAACAAAATAATCCCAAAGAATGCAGAATACTAATACTTTTAATGCTTATTCTTAATAATGATGGTCAAATGAATACTTAGAATAGTTGTAAAGTCAGCACATATAAATATATTAATAAAATATGTAACACACAATAAAGGATGAAAATTCAGTGCAAATTTACTTCTTCTTACAAAGTATCGAAAATAAAGCATTAAAATTGCAAATTTCAAGGTATTTATGGTTTTAAAATCATTCGGTACTATTGTATATTGAGGATATTAAGCTTTTTGATACAGTTTTGTCGATTTTGCATTTATGCTTGCTCTTTTCGCCGGTTTTAAATTTTTATGTGAAAAAAATGATGGAAAATTTTAGAAATGGCAATTTTTTCCATCAATAAATCAGTATTCTGCATGTTATATTTACTTTTCGTTCTAAAACGTGCTAAATTCGTGGTAAATCCAGTCGTCAGATTATTCACAAACACTATAATTAACTTTAAAATTAGAATTTTTAATTTTTTTCTCAATTTTTTTCTATTTATAATGATTTACACGGGTTCACTTATTTTGTCATTTTTTCATAAATATTCTTATTTTGTAGACTTTTAAAAATTTAAAAATGATTTTATCCGTTAAAAAGTTTCGTGTGTTAATATCTTCAATCAGGCTGGAATTGGATCTGACTGGAGATTTATCAAATAGAAACTCACTGACAAAATTTCAAGTTAATTATGTTAAAACTGCCTTCAGAAATTACTAAGGTCAACAACCAATACTATTACAGAGATTTACACATGCATCTGCAAAAAAAATAAATAAAAATAACACCGAAAATGTAAGCAAACAGAAAAGTAATAAACTAGTTTAGGTAATTCTTTTCGTTTTTATAGCGTGGATACTTTAAACCAACAAAGTTAATAATAAAGTTTATTTCATTCAATGTTTTCGTCAATCATTTCCTCGTCTGATGATTCTGATTCTGTATCACCTTCCAAATCTTCTTGTTCTTCGAGTAACTTCTTTTGCATTTGTCGCTCAATTTCCCTCCGTAATCTCTCCATTCGTCTTTGATAGTAAGTTCGACGTCGTCTGCGAGGCTTTTGACTGAAAAAATATCAACAAAATGACTTTTAAATCCTCGATAGTATTATTATATTAAAGTCTATTTATTTTTGCAAAAATGTTTTCTTCATTGAAGAAGGAAAGAACTTAAAATTAATTTAATAAGATTTTTTTTTTTTTTTCATAAGCAGCATACAATTTTTTACTTTTATTTCTGAAGACTTGGAAGTTTCATTGAACTCGAGAAATATCAATTTTAATATGTTTTTACAGAAAGCTTTTATTTTAAAAAATGAGAACTGTTTAAAACATTAAAACGAGTACATAAACTTTTCACTGGAAAATGTATAGTTTTCGTCATGAAATTTTCTTTCACTAATTCATTAAATATATGTATAGGTTTATGCTTGCATACTATGTCATGGTAATATTTCTTGTGTGATGGTCTTCATTCATTTTTTTTTTTTTTTGAAACATTAAAAGAGATTGAGAATATTTAATGATTGATATTCTCATGTAACTGGGTAAGTATTATTCAAATAATTACATTTAATAAAGCTAACATCTTGTAAAAAAAAAGTAATTTAAACCTTACTTATTCAACAATGTCGTCGAAATAAATAGATAATAAATGACATAAAAACAATCTTGTTCTTTTTACAAAAATGCATTCGAATTAGAATTATAATAACTTTAAATTTACAAATCATATGTCATTATAAATTAAAGTAAAAAAAACTTGTTTTTAATCGTAAAACATGAAATTATCGTAAGATTAAAATCTTTAGTGTGTGGTTTTATAAGACAAACATATTTATGGCTACATATTTTCTCTTAGTTTTGGTAAGTTGTTGAGTATGTATGTAAATAGGTTTTTTTTTTGTTTTGCTTTTTGCTTTGTAGTACACATTGTGTATTAATCTTGATGGCTTCTAATTTTATGGCCAAATGTAGAATTCAGTTCAACACCTTCCATGCTCAGCATGTTTAATCACTATTATTTCACCATTCATTAGAGCAATCATCAATTTGAGATTCAAGTAATTCTATGTTGGATTCATATTGTTCATATTCATCTGTGTCGTCAAATCTGTAAACACATAAACGAATAGATTAGTTAAAAGTGTAAATGACCTCAGGACCGATTTCAGTAATATGCATTAGCCCACATTCCTCATTAATTTTAAAGATTCTAATAAGGAGTCGAATGACCCGAAAGCAACAAAAATGCCTCAATATTAAGTGAAATCGTTCCTTGATGCTAATCATTTAGTCTAGAGTTATTGTTTGTGAGCAGGGTTAGTCTATGTCTATGTTTTGTCAAAAAAAAAATTATTATAATCATAATTGTGTAAGACATGAGTTAGTAAACAAATTAAAGGAAAAACGCTTTGTATTATGGTATTAATTTTGCCTTAAATCAATTATTCTTCAAATTTCCATAACAAAATCTTACCCTTAAAAAAATTTGGAATTAGAAATGATCAATTGACATTATTTTGGCTAACTTATTTGAATATAAAAATGTACTATCGATAGATATTTGTTTAATTGTTATGTTAAACTTGCTCTTCCCTTTATATCATATTTATAATATCATAATACACACACACGAATGAGGAGACGAATGAAAATAGAAAAAATATTTCGATTAAGGTACAAATGAACAAAATAGTAGGTACACAACTGGAGATAGAAATTGAACTATAATAGAATCTAATTAATATTTACCCAGTGCCGTCGTTGCTTTCCTCTGCCACCAAAAGCTCATATTCCTGTGCTGCATAACGGTCCCAATCAGAAAGCTAGAAAATGATTAAAAAACTTTTGTTTGTATTCAGACTAATTATTTCGAAAAGTTAATATCTCACCTCCTCGCTGTCTTTTTGTGCAGCAAAAGGATCGCGCTGTTCATGTTCCATATATTTCTCGAGATTAAAGAATGTATCAAAGAAAATCGGAGTCATTTTACACCGCTTTAAATCACTTAAAGTTATGCAATCTCTTTTGATTGGTTTGATCATGTCTAGCATCTAAAAATAATTATTTCGATACATCGAGTTAGGCACATAAATTATGTGTGGAAATGTGTTGATGGATATGTCGGCTCAGTAAACTTGTCTCAATCGATTCTCAATTAATTCAAATAAATTAAAATATTGATTTACTGAACAGAAAGTCAAATGTGTGGGAATTACCTGACACAAGCAATCCTCAAAGGGTAGTGTTTCTATTCCTAATTGTTCCATACGATGCTGCTGCTCCTCATAAAAATATTCTAGCTCATACATTGATAAAACTCCATCTCCATCAATATCCATACATCTAAACCAATATTCAATAGCAGTCGGGTGATTTTTGTCTTCTTCAGCCAGTAAAAACCATACAAAATCCGTATAAGACATTCGGCTAATTCCAGTCGTGCCATTTTGCTGTCTACTTCGTCCTCTTGTTACGCAACCCGAAAATATTCTTTCAATAATTCTTGACGACAATGCATTGTCGTTATGTCGCGCTAAATCTTTCTGATCTATGAATAGATCATGATCTCTATCCAATTCCCAAAATTTACAATAAATTACGTAAAAGTGCTCATAACTAAAGTATGCCATAATTTGATTGATATCCTCTTCGTCTTCCAATAATTGAATTACATCTATCAGATTTGATCTTCTCAGTTCGCTAATCGATATCTTTCCCGACCAGCTGCGATTCACACAATAAAAAATTCTGGCTATCACCGTATGTACATAACGTGAATGAAATTCTGCAGCTTCTTTGAGAAATGCTAAGCCTGGATGAGAATCAACAACATCTTGAATTAAAGGTGCCAAATCTTCGGGCAGTAAATGTAGTCGAGACCGATTGCCTCGAGAGATGATGTGGATAAATCTTGATGCACTGTCATGACAAAAAGTTGTCATCCTGCAAAATGAAATAAAAAGTAATAAATATAATATATAAACATAAACTTTAATTAAGTATCAAGACACAATGAAATGTGTATGTGACTTACTGTCTCCAAAAATCTATAAATCTGTTTCCATTAACACAACCTGTTTTAGTTAACTGTGTACACATGAATAAAGGAACACGCCAGTACAATGGCACTTGACATATTGTTACAACAATATGAAATTTATCCCGAGGTATTTCAAAGTTCTCGAATTGTTCGAATACCAGCTCTAATCTTTGTATAGTCGTTTCTGTAGTAATTGAGGGAGGAGGCTTGCCATTCGGGAAGAAGAATCTATAAACAGAAACAAATTAGTAAATTAAATTTCGGATCATCAATTTTAATTAATTTACTGTGGTATAGTAAAGTTGATGGACTTCCTTAAATGACGCTGCAGTGTTGAGTGCAAAGGAGGAAATACTTTATTTACTGGCTTGGCCTATAGACAAAATAAAACGTTTAAATTCTCATTAAAAAATTATTGATTATTGAGATGAAGGAAGAGCTTGCCTGAATTTTAGGTTTTTCCGTTGATTGCCTTTGTGGAGCTTTTTCTGGGCATTTTTCAAAAATTAAAACTCGTTCAGCAACAGATCCGCGTGATAAAAATGGTCTAACAGGACTAGGTATGCTTTTCAATTCAAACTTTTTATCTTCAAGTTTCGACAAGTCATGTCGTGGGATTCTCGTAGTCGAAACTCGAGCAAAACTTGAAAATCCCTTTGAATTATCATCTTTTTGTGGAACATAAATCGGTGTGTGATTGGGCTTTTGTGGAGGATTTGGTTGATTTTGTGATTCGACATCATTACTATTACTATCTACTTTACAACTTTCTTTTAAAGCTACCGACAATCCATTTAACTGCTGGTCTGCTTTCGACTTGTAATCAGTGAGTGACGAAGTAATAACTTCAGGAAGATTCTTGTCATTTGTCAAGACAATTCCAGTTTTTAAAGCATTTATCAATTTTTCTTCTTCACGCGACACTTCATCCATCACATCAATCGACTTTCTACTCGATTTATCATTCGGAGATAATTGCTGACTTGATGAGGATCCACTTTTAATGACTTTTTGATCGTTAGGAGTTTTCATGTCGGATATAGGACTACTAAAATTTCGATTATTAATTATTTTACTTTTAAATGGCCAAGTTGGAACATGATTGAGGAGATGTTCAGGTTTCGCAGGTGTTTCAGGCTTCTGAAGCTTTGCACATTTCTCAATTGTGTCTTTAAGAACGTCCGGAACTTGATAATAGTCAGAAGACGATGAATTTTTCAAAATATTGCTGTTTGTTATGATGATACTGTTTTTGTCTGGAAGTTCCTTGTTACTGTTTCGTAAGCTTGATGAAGGTATTGGTGATGTTGAGGGTGAGGGGGAATCTTCCTTGAGATTCTCAAATTTCTTTAGAGCAAGTTTAATAGTTGAGTTTCCAACCGGACTATCAATACGTTGAGCAGCAATTCTTGCCTTATCTTCATTCACAAATGAATCTACTAATTGCTTTAAATTATTATTTGACAAGTCTGGTGCTTTTGATAAAAGTTCACTAGACGTAAGTTTTGATGGCTCATCCAAAAATGTACGTTTTGCTAGCTGCGACGATGGTGATAATTGTTGATTTAATGATCGATTAAATGAATTATCAGTTTCAGGATGGCACTTTAATATTTCAGTTGGGGCCAAACCACGAGCTTTCCATTCTTGATAAATGGCCTCTGCGTGATCCGATATTTGCTTAGCAATCGACTCTATCGACTCAATGTCTTCAGCAACTTCAATACTCGACGACGGTGAACTTCTTCTCACATCAGATGAAGAAGAATTGGATGTTTGCTTAGCTGTTGTTGTCATCATTAGCAGCGAAAGAGATTTTTTTTTAAAATTTTATTTAATTTGATTGGTTTGTCGATGAGATTCAAAAATTTCAATAATTGTCGTTTTATTTTGGCGAAAATTAGGGATAAAAGTAAATGTGAGACGTTATTAAAATTTTCTGCATTTCTAAATTGTTTTTTTTTTGTTTGAGATTTTTTTGTTTAATTTTGTTTTTGCATTTTTTGATGACACACAAAACACATATGTTAAAATCATAAAACAATTCTTATTAGCGGCACTTCTTTCTTTTATACATTTTCTGTTTTTATCTCGATTTTTTTGTATGTTTTGGTTCTACAGCATTTGTGCATTTAATTCACTATTTTATTATTAGGATTTTTTTTTTTTTCGTGTAAAATGATGAATATTAATCACGTGTTGGTGGATAACTTTGTCAATAAAATTCACAAATTGTTGTTGACACTAATTTTAATCCTTTTCATTTAAAATTATTATTGTGTAGTATTATTGTGTGTTTGCGCCATTCATTGTACTTAAACTACATGTTTGTTGCTATCTTGACCTGATGATTCTTTTTCCTTCAGATAGACAGCATTGAAAAAGAGAGCAAATAAAATTAGTTATCAACTAACGAGTTCATAACGAAAAGAAGATGATATATTTATAATAATTGACAAAGTCATTTTCCATTTTTCTCTCGTCATTTAATTTTTAAGTTTTTTTTTTTTTTGTTCATTAATGATTAAGAATGTTCGGTCCTAATACTCATGATTGAATTGTGCATTTCTGTGTCTCAAAATTAAACTGTCATGTTAGAAACGTACAGTAGTAGTCAAGAATGACATATTGGCAAGAACAGTTAGAATACACGATAAGATGCAACGTGTTCGACTCGTACGCATTATTAGAATGTAAAGTTATGCATAATTATTTTTAGCAGAAGCAGCGACGACAAAAAAATTGGAAGCTTGGCTATTCGGTTGGATGGAATTGTTTATGGGCGGAAAAGTCATGTTAGGCACGCATCTTCTCATACACTCATTATTTTTTTTTTATTTATTTAAACATTTTTTAACAGAATAACAATTATAGCGACTTCTTTTTGGGATGTAGTCTTAAGAGGTTCAAACCTTGTTTTTGACGAATTAGGTATTATTTAAAGCGAGGGAATACTATGTTTAAAACTTAATTAAAGTTTATTATGCATTTTGGATAAGTTTTTGCTATGAGATAAGTCTGGACTAGGGACTTAACAAAATTAGAAATCTTAAGGGAATTAAGTGTATTTGTTGTTGTAAGAATCAGCAAGACCACTCTACTAGAATCCCGATGACATGTTTACATAAAGTTATAAATCATTTACAGGAAAATCTCGCACTGTGGACACTAATTGAAGACAGAAAACGTGCTAATAATTACAAGATTCTATACTCAATCAACATGTGATCGTGACCTTACTAAACAGAGTGAAAATTATTCGATCAAAAGGTGTAGGATTTGATGAAACCAAAAAAAAAACTTCGTAATAGCCAAAAGCGTCAATTAAAGAAGCCGATAGTGGAAAATTTCTCGTATGAGAAGATACGTAAATGCACTGGGGATGAATAATGAATAAGAATCTCTCTACTGACTAACGAGAATACATGAAGAGTGTAGGTCAATGATTAAATAATTAAAGAGCAGAAACATCAATCCTTTTACAAATCACTTTCTTGTTAATTTAAATGTTTAAAATTAGTAATGTAGGTTAAAAAATCAACTATTTAACTAGCTAGCTATAAATAATTAAAGTTTAAAGAAAAAAAGGAAAGAAAACTCACTTAAAGAAATAATATTTTGATAATAATAGTTAAATGAGTTATTCATTTAATAGATAAAATTGTGTTTTTACTAGATAATTCGATGTAATTACTATTCTCACATTTAAAATTATACATCACTTCAGTTCACTATAAAAAATTAAATAAGATTCCGCATGAAATTTTGTTATTTTTTTTCCTTTCATCAATTTTATTTTTAGATTGCGTTGAGATTCAATTTTTTGTCATGTTTCTACCAACAAAAGTACCTCATTTACTAGACTTTCATTTATTTATTTGGGATAGACACGCAAAAAAGTATGTTGCTGCAATATTTTGACTCAAATTCACTTCACCGTAACTATAACTCTATGTGTATTTTTTTATATTAATTACTTTTCATTATTCAATTTTTTCTATTCTTTATACACACTGCGATTTTGTCTCTACACGACGGATTCACGTTCCTAAAAGATCTCAATTTTCGCTCATCATCGCAAAGTCTTTTTTTTTTTTTACTTTTTCGTATAATACATATATGTAGAGAGATATATATAAAAGAAAATTTTGGCTTGCGACGATCACCGATGTTGATTTACATTTTCTTCTGTACTGTGTACATATACATAAAGAAATGAAAAGTCTCGCTCAATTTTTTTTGTACTCTAGAGTAGATGCACTATGTGTATATATATTTGAGAAGTAACTTCATTGATCATATTTTTCTATAATCCATGTAATTAATATTTCCACATAGATGTAAAGAAGGGAAATTGAATGAATATGAGCAACGAAAATGTGTTTACTCTCAAACATTAAGCTATGTGAACGCGGACGGTGACTCTCTGAGAGATAATTTGAGTATAATATTGGATATATCTTTTAAATGATTTTATTTAAATTATTCTTTTTAAACTTTGAGAGAAAAATCGAAAATTACTCGTTTTAGAACTTAGTAAATATATACATATACAAAAGTAAATGAATTAATAAAGAAAAATTTAATATTGTACTCAATAAAATCAAATATACTGAGAATGTTATCTGCAAATTACGTTTAGAATGTAAACATGCACTTGATATATTTACACTATATAATATCTACACTTTACACGATAGTCTGGTACTTTATGGTGCAAATTAATTACTATTGGAATATGAGAAACTAATAGACTTTTGGACACAATTAATAAATTGGCACATACTTAATATTGAACTATAAACTTATTGCCACAAACAATCAAAACAGTCAGAGGAAAGAAAGAAAGAAGAAATAAATAAAATACTGAAAGATCTTATAGCTTAACATATACTAAACTTGAATTCAATATTTTTTTTTTCAGCTTACCAAATCTGCAATAAGTGAGAGACTTAAAAATACGCCTTATAAAAAAATATTACACATATTTCTTCAACACACGTTCGCAAGTAGTTATTCGTTTACTGTGGGATCTATCGAAAATGACGAAGATTTTCTTTTCACTTCTTTGAAATGCTCACACAAAATACACAAGGCGGTTTCAATAAGCATTATTTAATGAATGAATGAAAATGTAAATTCCAATACAACAACAAATTCTATATCGTGTGTATTTATAGCCATATACTTCGTTGTTGCTTAAAAAACCTTTATTTTTCCTCTTCATATTCTTTCAAGAACATTATTGATAAGACTTTAAATTTCCATATTCTTAATAAATCATTTTGAAAATACAGACAGACTACAGAAAAAAAAACTCGAATATATCGGAAGTATTACTATGAGCACGTATGTGCGTTAGTATATAAACTCTCCTCTCTATGTACCAAATAAATCCTTTCAAACTCAAAGATTTGATCCAGTCCAAGGATAGTGTCAAAATACTTGTTTTCTTAATGAAAGGCATTCGCATGCAATAATAAGTATATTTGAAAGATTCAATAAACCACACGCGAGTAAACTTGTTATTATGAGAATTAATACAAATATGTACAATTTTATTTGTAAAACATAAATTTCGATGTATGTACTAAAAATGTTAATGTCAAATCTGTCTCACTGTTTTGGCTAGGCACTACAAATGAGCTAATTTAGGGCAAAACAATTAATTGTGTTAAAGCAAATTGTGCAGAAGTTATACAACTAATGCTAATTACCATATTTTCATACTGTCTAATGATGTTTTTGTGTGATTTAGTAAGCAAAAAAAAAAAGTTTTAAAAAATTTTGTGAAGAAATTAAAATTTATGCAAACTACACTAAGCATGCAATACGTAATACTTCTAGCATTATTAGTTAAGTTTTGTGTCAATTTTTACCTACATTGCAGTGATATATGATGGGTGGATTTACTGTATTCTCGATTTTTTAACAAAAGGTACGGAACACAAAAAGAGATGTCCAATACTAATGATAATACTATGCTTTTACACTCAATCTTTTAACTATTTTAATCTAATTTCCAATAGATTATACTTTAATCTTTCACTTTTAATATTACTCACATTAGAAAATAAGTCGTTAAATGATAAAATTAATTTTTTTAAAGTTTTCAATTTTTTTCTTGAAAAATACGAAAGTAACTCTCCAAAGTTCGTATAAAAATTACTTAAAAGTCTACAATTTTTTTTCTAATGATTATCTCATGAAGTGCCTCAAATCCGGCTAATGTATTGCTTATTTTACGAGTTTCAAGATTAATACTGGCACTATTGTTCGTTGATTCTTCAAAATCACTAATTTGTTTCATTTGTATACATGTTCTAGCTCATTTGACAGCAGTTCACTGACTGTGGATTATTTTCCCGACCAACAGCTCCCTACAGCCTATTGTTGTTCATAGTGTTCTTAAATAAGACACTTCAATATAAGCGTAAGTTAAGGATAAGGGATCTTTAATACATGACATTAATGATATATTACAAGAAATTATATTGTTCTAGAGCTCTTAACCCCGCCTCTGATTAAAATTTTCTAAAACAGATCATTTATTCAAATCGAGGACCCCCGTATAGCAACCACGTGAGTACAACATAAAAACTTTGTTGCTCGGGATTATAGTAAATAACAAAAAGTCTATTAAAAAGATTTTATTTAAAACTTGATTAATTAGAGCAGTTTAAGGATATAAGGACAGGATTTAAATATTAGACAATGGAGGAACGGATCGAAACCACATATGCGATGGTTTGTTTATTAATTAGAAACATGTCAATTGATCATTTTTATATTAATTTTGCGAATTACAGGATCAATCAAGCTCAATGTTTAATAATGTGTGCAGGATATGCTTACAAGACGGTGATCTTATGTCTGTTTATGATAAATCAATAGATAGTGAGTTCTCTTATGCAGAGAAAATTGTACAAGTTGTAAATTCAATAAATCTCGTAAGTTAACTAATGTATGTCCATTATATCAGCACTAAGTTGTTCCTTGTTTTAGAAAAAGAAGGGAAATCTCCCACAGCAAATTTGTGCAAGTTGTATTAATGATCTAGAGTCTGCCTATCGATTTAAAATGAATTGTGAATCAACAGAAGCGATTCTTCAAACTTACATCACACCAAATAGTGAAGGAAGTGAGGAAATTGATGAACAGGAGCTTCCTGTTGATGACTTTTACACTTACAAATCCGAAATAATTGATACAGAAATAGTTGTTCCTGACAATAATGATCACTTAGACAAAGACTTGGATGTAATAAGTATAGCATGTATGTTTAAATAGCTAATTTAACTAATGTGTTTGTTGCGATTTTGACAGCAGGATGTGCTAGGAAAATCAGAAGACAATGAGGAGATTATCTCAGACTTGATAGATGATATTAAGCCACCCCCTAAAGCCAAAAAGGAATCAACGAGAGAAAAGTCAACACGTTCAAAGCGCAACAACCAGTCAACAATAGATAAAGAGCAGGAACGAATTCATATTTGCGAAATATGTGCAAATCAGTACAAATATCGTCATGCTTTAGAAGTCCACATGAGACGGTATATATCAGCTAGTTCTGTCACATTATCTTGCTTCTAAAATGTCTTTTTATCTAGGCACAATAACATTAAGCCTTACGAGTGTCCTGAATGCAAACGAAGCTTTGTGATTAGATTCGAACTGAAACGGCATATGCGCGTTCACACAGGGGCAAAGCCTTATTCCTGTCGGTTTTGTGAAAGGAAGTTCTCAGATTTTGGATCAAGAATTAAGCATGAACGGTAAGAACGATAAGCGTTGACTAATCTTTAATATCTCTAAAACTTATACTCAATTCTATTGCAGATCTCACACAGGTAAATCTTTATATCTATATGCCTTTCTTCATTGTAAGCTACTAGTTCCAAAAAAAAAAAAATATTCAGGAAATAACTTAATATATATTCTCTGCTTCAAGAACTGTTCTTTATGGTCTGTTAAAGTCGTTATTCACGAGCTTCTCTATTTTAATTAGATTGTACATTACCAGCATCAATTTTAACATCGCCAATATCTTCAGAGCTGTCCCTTTCATCGCTTTCTTCATACCTATCTGATACTTGTAATCAATAATTTTCTAAATTGTCTAATGCTTGAGAGAACACATTTTTGAAATTTATATTAAGCTACAGAATTCACAGAAGTGGGTAGCTTGTGATGAAGAACGATTTAATAACTATCAACTCATATTTTTGACTCTTGATTTCATTCTTAATTAGGCGAGAGGCCGTACATTTGTCAAACGTAAGTATAACAATTTAGGCAATCAAAATCAGTACTAATAAAGTATTTCTTTTGGAAAACTAGGTGTGGGAAGACTTTCGCGTATTCACATGTTTTAAGTGGTCATTTGGTATGTGCTTTATGCGCAATAATTTATGACATTTTTCATTAAATTACTTTCTATTTAATTTTAATCAGTTAACGCATACAGGAGAAAAAAGATTTGTGGTAAGCTTAACTTTTCTTATAAGAATCATCAGCCTGTACTTATAATATTTTTTGATCTACTAATGATAGTGTACAATTTGTAATAAAAGATTTACAAAGTCACACCATTTAAAGAGTCACATGAATACGCACCTTAAAGCTTTAAATAAACAACAGCAACAGACTACAACTATTCAATTAGCGCAAGAGCCAATAAAAGAGGAACAAGAGTTATTAAATGTAGTGTATATGTAGTATAAAATTGGAATTAATAAAAATTGAATTGCTTAACGATTGAAATTCTTTTAAATATATTTAAGTTCAAAATTTAAGCTTTACGGCTAACTTACCTGACATGCTTACTGCTTGCTAGATTCAAATCGGATTCTGTCATGATATGTGAGATGACCAAAGCTTGCAATATTGACTCAAAATATATGTTTTGACCGATTTTCTACAAACATGGATCCAGTGATTCTTAAACTTTTTTAAACCTGTAACCCTTTACATCTACGGGTATTTAATATTTAAATTTTTATATATGAAACGACAAATGACATGAAGTTGCACACAATTCAGTTTGTGTGTGTCGCGCAACAAAACTTTAAAAGCACTGCTTGATACAGTCGCTGGTTTTTGTTCCACAAAGAGCAATAATGTCTACAACGTTTCTCTACATAAAGGAGATGTTTTAAAAATAAAATTAGAATTAGTTTAACGTGGAAGATTAGTTTAAAGTAGTTGTGGAACTTACATTCTAGTGCTTATTATTAGTAGGATGTTAAAATATCTCGATTATTAAAAGGAATTAATGAAAATATAGTGAAATACAACAAGTTCTTTTTTTCGATCTAAGATTACTTTATTATTAAATTATTTATAATTGTTAATGAATCATTTGCGAATAACAATGATATGCATGAAGCAATAACTGGATTAGGAAGAAATTAAAATGTCTCATCGTTTAGCTGATTATTTTGTTATTGTTGGATATGAAAGTAAGTATTAATTTCTGTTTTCTTTAAATTCCATAGATTCTCCTTGAGTTCACATCAATTAACCCGGAGAGATACTATTAAAACAATACATTATTGTCGATTGATTATTTTAGGAAATGATACGCGTAGTCAAAATCCAGGTAAAATCATCCAGCGATTTCCTGAAAAAGATTGGGATGATGCACCGTTTATACAAGGAATAGAACTGGTAAAAAAATGAATAAATTAGTCATTTTAATCCCTTAATTGTATGCATGTACGTTTTTCCTTAAGTTTTGTCAGCCATCGGGTTGGAGTCTTTCATTGATACAAGATGAACCGAAATACTTTATGTCTGTTTTGACAAACATTGATGGAAATCATTATTATTGCGCGGTTTTATCGTTTTATGAAAAGATTTCAATCGTTCCAAGTAAACCGCCAGCAGATGAAGAAGAAGAAAACATCACCTTGAGTAGCAAGCAAATTTTACCATCCAGTTCAACAATTACGCATCATAATATTATGTACGCTCCAAAATGCTTAGTGCTTGTATCTCGTTTAGATTACTCTGACACGTTCAAAAATTGTCTCAAAACGATCTATACTGTATATTTGGAGAATCTGCCGTTTATGATTGAAACTCTCATTGGAAATATTCTCGGATGTATTCAAATTCCCAGTGCCGGCGGTCCTCAAGTGCGATTCTCAATCGGAGCTGGTGATAAACAAGCCCTACAACCCCCTCTCTCTACATCATTGCCAGGTTGGCTATTACTAATTTAGGTGTTTATAGCTCAATAAAAATAAAATACTAATCGTTGTCTATTTTTAGTCACTGGAAACTGTGTTCGAATGCTGTTCAAGCAATTAGGAATGAAGAATGTTTTGCTCTTGTATTGCGCTGCAATGACAGAACACAAAATCCTCTTTCATTCATCAAGCTACTCTAGACTTACAGAAAGCTGTCGTGCACTAACGGCTTTAATGTATCCATTACGTTATACTCACACTTATGTACCGATCCTTCCTGCATCAATCTTAGAAATCCTCGCCACACCTACTCCATTTATTATGGGCATAAATAGTAATATGCTGAATGAAATTAATGATGTGGTGAGTCATCCTTTTGTACATAATACTTTAGTGCCTATATATCTAATCATGACTTGATTTTATAGCTCGATGTAATCGTAGCCGATTTAGATGGCGGTTCTATTCACATACCAGAATCTCTTATTATTCCCGTATCTCGACTTCCGCCTGTTCTATGGGATAATACAAATTATTCATTGACAGTCATTTTACAGCCAGAATTAGCTGTTGCAGACAATGCTTTCTCAAAAAGTAATGCAACTTTCAATGAGAATCGCAATCAGGAACTAATTGATAAAGAAATTCGAGCTGTTTTCATGAGAATATTCGCTCAATTAATGCAAGGATATCGATCATGTTTAACGATCATAAGAATTAATCCAAAGCCAGTTATAGAATTTCATAAGGCAGCATTTTTGGGATCACGAGATGTTTCTGATATTGACTTTTTAGCCAGAGTTTTGGACAGTATGTTCTTTACAACATTTGTATCTGAACGAGGACCATCATGGCGATCGTGGGATGCATTTGATGAGCTATATAATGCAATGCCTGAATTATTAAAATCAGAGAATATTGAAAGAACTTTAATTCTCCAGCACATCCAAAAATTGGCTGAAAAACTCTACATAAATGAAAATCCTAATCCCCAGAGTTATCCAGAAAAGATATTAACGCCTCCCGATGGCGCGTTCTCAAGAATTCATCATCCAGAATTTCCAAAAATTGAATCCAGTAAGGTCCAATTGATAATTAATGAAGGAATCAATAAGAATGATCTTCAATCAAAACTACAATCGTATCGAAATAATCCACGAATTGTACCAATTGGTCCGCCACTTCCAAGCTTTAATGATGGACGACTGACAGTAACGCATGCTGCTCGAAAAATGGAAGTAATTAAAAATTGTGTAAATAACATCTTTGAGAATAAGATTTCAGATGCACGAAAAATATTCCCTGCTGTTATACGAATCTTAAAGCAACGCGATGATGCAAGACTGTTTCTATGCAGAGAACTGGCAAACTTTGTACAAGGATCTAATAAAGCTACTCTCGAGCACGCACAATTTGATCTTGTCTGTAAGCTCATGAATCGATCATTACAAGATGAATCACCAAAATATCAATATGACATTGCAGCAAACATACTGCCATTATCAGTCTCATTTTGTCGTAAGCTAAGTCCAACGGTTATGCAGTTTGCTTACAGTTGTATTCAAGGTCACGCAATTTGGAAGACTCAGGCATTTTGGGAGCAAGCATTCTATCAAGAAGTTCAAGCTAACGTTAAGAATCTTTATGTAAATAAGCCAATAGACAGAAATAGCTTTTTTAATGAGTCAGTTCATAGTTTAATGAATGAGTATAGAACTTCATCGGAGCCATCGGCATTAGAAATTGCTGCAAAACAAATGATGGAATGGCCTTCAATGGATGCTGCAAAGCAAAAAGATTTAGTCATTTCCGAGGAACAGATTTTGTATAGTCAAGCTTTACATTATGCAAATCGTATGATTTCATTGCTGATTCCATTGGACGTAAGGTCCAATACAAAAATCAAAAAAATTACTAAACATGTTGAGGACAATGCCAGTTTTTCAAATAGTGTTTTAGAGTCCAGAAGTGATCAATCAACTGATGGATATGAAGACCGAGATGCCAGTGAAGTTGAACAGACAGTCATTCGTCAAGTCTGTAAATTTATCGATAAAGTGTGCAATGAAGGAGGCGTTTCACCTGACAACATACGCAAGCTTCACTCAATTATAGGTGCGTTAACTTTATCTTTTTTATCAATCATAAAGTTTATTACAAGCACCAATTAATGCCAGTTGTGTCTGTCTGATTGATTAGTTCGCTAGTTGATAGATTAAATTTTTAATCGTCAGACTTATTTTAAGCTAAGCTGGATTAAAAAAATAATCGTAATTTACAAATTTTTTATGACAGTTATTTTTCAATTTTTTTACATTTTAGGTGGACTAGTTGATATGCAGTGTGAGACTTTAGATGTCGTTTGTCGAGAATCGAAACGAATACCACCAGTTCAAAAACCAAAAATTCAATATCCAACACTTTTGAGCGGAGAAGACATTATGGGAGATGCATTAAGAGCAATTTTACTCGTTGATGGACGAGAGGAAACAATAAGTCCGTTGCTGCCAGCTGAAGGCGCTTTGTTCTTGACAAATTATCGAGTAATTTTCAAAGGACTTCCAATAGATTCTCTAACATGTGAGCAAAGCGTCATTCGATCATTTCCAGTGGCTTCTTTGACTAAAGAGAAGCGTATTTCTGGAATTTTATCCAACGAACAGGTTCTTCCCGATGGTTTACAGCTTAGATCCTCAACTTTTCAACTTATTAAGGTGGCATTCGATGAAGAAGTATCGCACGAAACAATTGAAATTTTTAGAAAGAGTCTGAATCGATTGAGACATCCAGAAGATGAATTTGGACATTTTGCGTTTGCTAATCATTTGACATTTGCTGCAAAACCTAAATATCCAAAAGTAAAGGAAAAGAATTCAACGTTAAAAGTTTTTGCAAAACAAACGCTTTTGAGGACGGCAAAGAAAGCTGGTATCAAAACAGGCAAAAGTTCATCCAACAAGCGAAAGTATATATTTAGTGGAATTAATGAAGTTGAACAATTTTATAATAATCCAGCTAATAATAATAATAATAATGTCGAAAATAGTGACGATGACGATAATGCTTCAGAGGAAACGGAACCAAATCCCAAATTTACTGTTAAAGATGTAGAAAAATTGAAGGACAGAAGCTTTGTTAAAGATTGGCAACGATTGAACTTGACATTAAATGGATACAGGTGAACTTACTGCTAATTCCTTTCACATGACCATAAAAGGTTTTAATGTCATTAATTTTATATTTCTAGATTATCATCAATAAACTGCAATTATAGCCTGTGTCGAACATATCCAGCAATGATTGTTTGTCCAAAACAAATAACTGATGATCAACTAAGATCCTTGGCAAAAACTTATAAGAATCAAAGAGTTCCAATTCCAACTTGGCGTCATTCTAATGGTGCTGTTTTGTTAAGAAGTGCTTTGTCATTGGCTAAAAGTGTAATGGGAATGCTTAAATCTGGATCTGCAAATACATCTGTAGAAGGAAAAATTGATGGACTTCAGGATCAAGACAGATATTTCTGCTCAATGATTCCACATCATCAGCAATTGCAGCAGCACATGAGTCATGCAAATATCCTTAGTTCCGAGTCTAACATTTCGATAGATTCACTTTTAGGACCAAAAGCACATTTAACGCCATTAAGTAACCGTCGAAATGATGGTGCTGGAATGAGAATGATGAATCAAAAGCCAAGCAATAAATGGGAATCATTAAAACGTGGCGGTGCACATTACAATCAATATGATGATCATTTTACAATTCAAGCACCGACTAGAGTTCCTTTATACATTCTCAGTGAACGATCACAATCAAAATCTGTTAAATTATCGGAATTAGGCGTTGAGTACATACCAGTATGTTATAATGACAATCGTCATTCTCGTGAAGCATTTAAGAAATTAATGCGGGCTTGTCTTCCATCTACAATCATCAATGAACCGGATCATACTTTCTTAAAACTCATTGAACATTCTGAGTGGCTTGATCAAATCCGAAATTTGTTACAACTCAGTGGAACGGTTGTCGATTTAATTGACATCCATGAAGCTAGTGTAAATATAGCATTTGAGGATGGGTGGGATGTAACTTGTCAAGTTTCGTCCTTAGCGCAGATTTGTCTTGATCCATACTATAGAACAATTGATGGCTTCAGAGTTTTAATTGAGAAAGAATGGCTCGCTTTTGGACACAGATTTGGACATAGAAGCAATTTGAAACAAAACAGCAGTGCTTTTGCACCCATCTTTTTACAATTCCTTGATGCTGTTCATCAAATTCAACACCAATTCCCCTTATCATTCGAGTTTAATGAATATTATTTGAAATTCTTAGCATATCACTCCGTATCATGTCGCTTTAGAACCTTCCTTTTTGACTCCGAGTTCGAACGTAAGTCACTCTGTTTTTAACGACATTTTCAAATTTAAATAACTGTTCAGTAATCATTTTGTTCTTTTCTATTCAGTTCATTTGAATTTTGAAAATCCGTTAATATTTGAATTTAAAAAATTTGTTAAAAATATACAATTTCTTTCCATGTCTAGGCTCTGATTTGGGAATAACAGCAGTCGAAGATAAGCGTGGATCACTGAATTCTCACAAGCATATGGTAGAAACAGGAAATAATTCAGATGATGAGAGCCTTTTATATCCAGGCGGTTTGAGAAATTCTAATACAAATCAACCCAAATTGGGCGTTTCGATATTTGATTATATTGAAAAGCACCATGTACGAACACCAGTATTCTATAATTTTAAATATACTACTAATCCAAATCAGCAAGTATTAAGGCCACAAAGCTCTATTAATATGTTAGAAGTATGGGATTTTTATACAAATGAAGAATTAGCACAAGGACCAAGTTATGACTTGGAATTAATTGGATCTGAAGTGATAGACGAGGAAACGGAATACTCATTAAAGCAACCAAAGAGAAAAGTAGTGACAGTTGGTTACGACAATATTTACAGAAATGAATCAGATGCGTTTACAATTTTGTTGGAAGATTTAAAGCAAGCAGAAGCAGAACGTGGTATATTACCACAAAAATGGAAACAAGTTTGGGATAAGTTGGAATTACCTCTCTCTGAATCTTTGACCGACAAGATGAATGTCTTATCAATTGGCAATCTTGGTCGATCTCATGGACGAAATATGCACATGTAAGCTTTTATTTTTTGTGACATAGTGTCATGACTTATCATAATTTCTGATTTAGGACCACAATGGATATTCTAAGACGTGGACAAATAACTGGATATCAAGATCTATCACATCCGCATCGTTTTGAAAAGCATGTTTATACGACACCAAATAACTGTTCATTATGTGGTAATCTCCTTTGGGGTCCAGTTCGTAATGGTGTACGTTGTATGGATTGTGGAAATTCTTATCATGAGAAATGTGCTGATTCAGCACCGAAAAATTGCACCAAATATAAGAATATTGAAGGAAATCAAACGTTGATTCCACCTAAGAATCCAAATGATATGCAAGATAGTTGCAGTATAGCTAGCAATAACACAAATGATATATATCGAGGATTTGAAAGCAATATGCCTGAGAATCGAACTCATGAAGGGTAAATTATAGATTTATAAGTCAATGCAAGCAGAGATTAATAAAATTTAATTAATTAAAGGTATCTCTACAAAAGAGGTGCGTTGTTAAAAGGATGGAAACAAAGATGGTTCGTTCTCGACTCTATCAAACATCAGCTACGCTACTACGACTCAGTTGAGGATTCCAATTGCAAGGGGGCAATAGGTAAGGAAATAAAAACTAATAATTAAAGTCAATTCTAATACTTTGGACATATTTCAGATCTTGCAGAAGTACAATCAGTTGGACAAGCATCGAGCCCCTTCCAAATGACAACATCAAAGAAGATTGACGAGAAAGCATTTTTTGACGTAAGTTATAGACATCCTATTTGTGCTTAACAAGGCTTGATAAAATTTTATGTTTACTTCCAGTTAAAAACTGCAAAGCGAACCTACAATTTCTGTGCAATCGATGCGTCAAGCGCTCAAGAATGGTTAGAAAAGATTCAAGCATGTCTTCAATAAGCAACTTTGTTTGCTCGCGCTCAACAATTACGTGATTCCCTTATTAACTATTCGTATTTAATTTTACAAATTTATGCCAATATCTTTTCCTATTATTGTTGCGATTTAATGTTTCTAGTTATTAAATCTTTATTTGTCTAAATGAGAAGCATATTTAACTGATTTATATGATGAGAATATATATGTGTATTTATTAAAAATCGTCAACGGGATTCCGCATTTAATAAAGTAATTAACTTATAAAGATAATGAGATTAATTTAAAAGAGACAGCTGAATTTTTTTTCATGAACTCAATAAAGAACTATTTGCTTAACTTTGTTCAAAATTATCTACAAAGCATAATCAAACTCATTTTTGTCATTCCTTTCATAAAATCGCTTAACAGCAATATTAAAGATTTGCTTTTAACTTACGAATTCAAAATAACAGACTTTTTCAATTCAAATTTTGATTTTAATTGAACTTGAATGAAATGAACTATTACGGACTTTTTGAATGAATCGAACTGAATTGAAATTCTACTGGCTTTTCAAATAACCCAAACTGAAATGAATTTTAACAGACTTTTGAAATTCAAATGAGATGAACTAGACTTTACTGAATGATTCAACGGCTCTTAGATAAAAATCAAAGCTTTTTACATAATTTAAACTGCATTTTGGAAAAAACAAGATGAAACAAGTTTGATAATATCATACTGACAACCACTATAGACACATCAACACACAAAAATGCTCGAAAAGAGAAAGATTATTTACGTTTAGAATGAGTTTGTTTTTTTTTTATTTAAACCATAAATTAATGTTCAAATTCTATTTTTTTTTGTCACATTAATATAATATATTTGTTAATATTCATATTGTTTGTTTGTTTGTTTTTTCTTCTTTTTCATTTATAATTTATAAATTTTGAGAATTAAGTACATTACTCATCTGAAGATTTGTAAATAACAGTATCAGAGTCGTCATGTGTCAATGATTTTTTGCATACATTACACAGAGATCTATAAATTTTTCTTTCATTTCATTCATTCTTTGTTTCTTTTTGAGGATAAATAGGACAAAAAAAAAGTAGTAAAATAATCAAGTGTGGAAATGAACGATCTAAAGAACTCAGTCAAAAAAATCAAACTAATATAAAAGGAAGCGCATTTTCCTCGCATAGAATTCGAGTTAAAAAAGCTTTAAAATAATAACAATGACAAATTATTTGAAATGTAGCGGTAAATTGTTTTTTGAAAATTAATTGTCAAAAATTAAGTTGCGTGATTTTACGTAACGTAAGTCATACTAGGGAGTCATTTGGCTAGTTCCAACAGAGAAAGTAACCTATCAAACTGGAGGAAAGACTTACAGACAGACAAAGTGTGGACAAAAAGCTTCTTTTTCTGCTAGGAAAATGCGCTAAAATCAAAAAATTCGATAGCTTTTAAGAGAAAAAAATGAATCTATTATTATAATAATTTTATTTTGATTCAAAACAGAAGAATCATAAGAAATATATTTATCATAAAAAATAATAGCATCACATTTATTCCATTGCTGAAAAGATAAATAAAGGAAGAAAAATACAAAATTAGTATTTTGGAGATTCTTTGAGTATTGTGTTTTTAACTTACGGGATGGGCTCCTTCCACTTTCAGAATTTCCGTTCATTGTTAATGAATTATTCAAATTCCGACTTGATGGTGATTCCGGATTATCTTGTGAATAGTTTAAAAAGTCCCAAATCAGGATAGTGTCGTCATGCGAACTACTGACAATTTGGAATTCATCGAATTGTAATCTAAAAACTCGTCCTGTGTGTTCCTGTAAAACACAACATAGCTATAGATCAAGCTGTTGTAGAATATAATGAAAAAAAAAATATCAAATTTGGACTTACATTTAAAGTTTTAATGCATAATGAATTAGGCTGAGCGCGCGGATCTAAAGCAGCAACCAAGTCCCAGACTTTGATTTTTCCGTCATATGCTCCACTTACGATCCTCTTTGAATCGAAGCGTATACATCGAACTAATTCCTCATGTCCTTCCAATACTCGAAGACATGCACCACATTCAATGTCCCATAAACGAATCGAGTTATCTGAGCTGCCACTTACTACTAAGCGATCTCGGTATTGTAAACATGCAATTCCACGTTTATGTCCATTTAGTGTGCGAATAAACTCACATGATGATGTACTCCAAACTTTAATTGTTCGGTCACCAGATGCTGAAACTATATATTTCTCATCAAAGTCCACTACGTTGACAGCTGCTCGATGTCCAACGAGAACTCTACGTAATGTAATTTCTTTCGGAGATGTCATATCCCAAACAGCTATTGATCGGTCCTAAATTAATAATTTTACGCGTTTTTTTTTTTATTGATTAGTAGAATGCTCTTTATTAATGCTGCATTTATTACCTTCGAACATGTAACCATCATTCCGTTATTGAATCGTAAATGCAAAACAGCTTCACAATGATGTATAAGAGTATTTGTCATCTCTCCCGTTTTAACATCCCAAACGCGAACTGTCGAATCACTCGAGCCACTAATTATAACTTTGTCATCATATTGTAAGCATAAAACTGAACCCGTATGACCTGTTAATATCTGAAGTAAATATATTAGTATTTTTAACGTGTTTTTGAATTTTAAATTTGAGGAGTTTTCAAAAATTTGAATCTGCTCAAAAAGATTCGTCACAATTTAAATTTTTGAAAGCCATTAAATTGCAGGAAGTAAATTGTGAAGTTAAATTGCAAGCAGCAATATCGCATTATATGACGAAAGCAATTAACTTGGCAAATTTTCAATGAATCATATCTAATGGTAAACACGAACGAAAAGAAATAAAGAACAAGAGTTGATGCATAACAAGATGTATATAATAGTATGTGTAAGTCTTGTAGAACGACTTGGAATAAATTGTTACAAAATTTCCTGATTTCATCACAATAATTCAATTAATGCTTGTTAAAAAGTTTGCACGAATATGGCATAACTGTTAATAAGATAATTTTAAGAGGAAGTTACCTTTTCACACTGTAGGGTACTTCTATTCCAAATTTTAATCGTGTTATCGCGTAAGCCTGAAACAATTTTGTTGTCATCGTACTGAAGGCAATAGACGCCCTTTGAGTTTTCGGATCTGCAGTTAATTCTTTGCAAATTGTGATTTCCAGAGCGCCAGTTGTTCTCAATTGTCTCAATATCCTTCATTATCACTGGATATAGTTGTCTATAGAACGAATGATTTCGATATTCTCCTTGTCTTGGTACAAATAAATATTTGATCCATTTCTTTCTTTCAGCTAGTCCACGCCATAATGAGTCACTTCTGACTTTTCGTTCAATTAACTTTTTCCATAACATACCCTCAGAAATTACTCGATTCCATTCTTTTGACACAAGCTCGGCAGCAAAAAGCGATTCAGCATCGAGATACGACAGAATATTATCAGCAACATGATCGAGTCCTTTTTTCGGTAACAATGAGATGAAATCTCTCTGAAGCATGGGTTTTAAGAAAGCATTTATGTGACCGTGCTGATAATGACACATCCGTGACAACAATTTCTCAACATAATCAACCTGTTCGTCATCATTCCAGTTAGTAAACATTCCCAAACACTTCTCATGCTCTTTTTGGTATTGAGTCGACGGTTCTTTTTTACGAGTTGGATCATACAGTGTTGTGGACGTAAACTGTTTAAGGGAAATAGACATTAAGTTAGTTCCTGATAATTTACAGTTCCTTATTTGCTTTAAGAGCAATACAATATGAATATGAACTGTGAATTTAATGGGTATTTTCGCACATAATGGCTCTTTATGCCTAGAACATAAAAATGTAGGTCGCATAGAACTGATTTTCTCTCGAATCAATAAATCAGAAGTAGAGTAATCGATAAATGTGAGATGTGAACGTGAATTCACCTTGTTTGGAAAGATCATTGAGTGAAAACGGAAGTAAATTACAAAAAGATTATGAAATCACGTACATTCGTACATTTTATACACTTCAGAGATCATTATATAGTATTTTTAATTAATCCAAGTTTCACTTTAAGCTTATGGAAGTTGAATTAACTCGAAAAAGTGTGCGTTACTGGATCTTTTTATGATTATTTTACAAAATTATGACTAATTTTCACGATTTTTGACCTTTAAACGAGTTTAATAACTGGATTTAACAAACAAAATAGTGCATTACACGTCATTTTCTGTATGTCCTCTAAATTATTCGCCATTGTGATTTTTTTTTACTTTCTAAGCACTTATTTCTATCACTCTATAAAATTCACAATTTATATCATTTCTTTATCATTTATCATATACCTGCGTCTTTGAATCTTCAATAACTTTATCAGTCTCCATTTTCATCATATTTACAAGCTTTTTGTTCTCACAAATGGCTTAAATTTACTATTTTTCTTTTTCACTTTCACAATAACTTAAAAATATATATCTTCATTACATATATCGTCACAACTGGATCTTTTTTCAATTATTTGTATACTTAATGACCTTCTGCTTATTCTTAATCACTTATTTTGTGCAAATTTATCTTGATTCTCTTTAATAAATTAATTAATTTTCCTATTTGTCGAATTTAGTGTATTGTTCTGCATGCGTCAAATTCGAGTCTACACTTTTTTTCTACTTTTTTGAATCTCAAACGACTGTTACTGAATTTTTTGACAAAGTTTTTGAATTTTTTAAAACCGTTACTTTTTTGAATGACACATGATTGACTCACTGTAAGTAGCTAAAAGTCCTGAAAAGGTACAAAGACTGCAAATCAATAAGAACAAAGAAGGGGTTAATGTTTCCAAGAATTATTCAGTTTATTTCTTTAATATGAAGGTTCTCCTTATACATATTTCATCATTTATTTAGAAATACAAAACTCATTTACTTCTTTTTCGGCTTCTTGGCATCTGCTGGTTTTGATGCTGCTGGCTTAGTTGGTTCCTTACGTTTAGGTGCTTCTTTCTTTGCTGGAGCAGCTTTCTTTGTCTCTGCTGGTTTTTTCTCGGGTGCTGGAGCTGGCTTCTTTTTGTCATCAACTTTTTTGGCTGCTGCTGGTTTAGCTTCAACCTTCTTAGCATCCTTCTTTTCTGCAGTAGGTTTCTTGGCATCAGCCTTTTTTTCAGCTGGCTTCTTCTTATCATCAACTTTCTTTGCAGCTGGCTTAACCTCTGGCTTCTTGACAACTTCCTTTTTGCTATCCTTGTCAGATGAGATTGAACTCTTTGACTCACGGATTGAGGCTGTTCGTGTACGACGACGGAGTTTTTCTTCACGTCTACGTTGAGCCAATAATTTAGCATATTCAGCTTCAGCTTCCTTTCTACCCTCAATACGACGTTTCTTAAGTGCCAAACGGTGTCGTTTGCGTTGTAAAACGACTGGTGTTACGAGACGTTGGATTTTAGGAGCTTGGAAACGTTGCTTCTTACCTTCCTTTGCAGGTAATGGTTTCTTAATAATATATTTCTTAACGTCATCTTCCTTTGTAAGAGCAAATAACTTGCGAATGTGGCTAGCTCTTTTTGGTCCGAGACGACGTGGAACAGTTACGTCTGTAAGACCTTCAATCTCACCCTCGCCTTTACGGACAACAATAAGAGCAAGAGCTGACAAGTTTTGATCTACAATACATCCACGGACTGATTTGCGTTTACGTTCTCCAGTTCTTCTGGGACGATAGCAGGAATGACCTTTCTTAAGCAACAAACGAACACGAGCTGCAAACAATCAGTAGCGTTAGTTTTATCTTAGTAACTGCTTGGTGATATTAATTAACATATTAAGAAGTTTAAGTGTACAAATTATGTGGGAAAGGATTATGCCAAATGAGTCTATGGCTATCCAATACGGGGAATTAATTTGAGGCCTTACTCTGTCTGTATGTATCGGGAATCTAGTCAGGCAATAGAACTAAAATCCCTCAAATGAACAGACCCAAAAAAATTGGTTTTCACAATATATAATCGATACTTACTGTTTGTCAAGACACCTTGTTTCATTGGGAAACCTTGTTTGTCGTTACCACCAGCGATACGGAAAAGATATCCCTTCCATTCGTCTCCTAATTGCTCAGCTTCAACTTCTGCACCAATGCGCTTCTCATAGAATAATCGGAGTTTGTGGTCATCGTTGACCTCAAATGTCTTCTGGGCTCCCGTAGAGGGATAGGAGATGTTTAACTAAAATAAAGCACAAAATATTTCATTAATAAAATGGTCCAAAAAGTAATATGTCAACACATGTGAAAAAAGATTTTTTTTTTGAAAAATGTTTGAATTAAATTTTCCACTCAAAAACCATATTTAGGGCTAATATTTCATCATATCCTTTAAATATGCTTATTGATGCACAAGTTTCACTAAAATTAAAGCAACAAAATTGGCTAAAAAGTAGTTTAATTTAATAAAATTACCTTCATGGTTGTTTTCCAGGCGAAAACGAAAATCGAAAAGACTGAAGAAGGTTAGAACACCGAGGGAGAAACTCCTGCGCTCTTAATTCAAATACGATCAAACCGTTATTCCATTGACATTTTTATGAACTGCTTTCTCCTCATTTCTACTCATTTCTATTGTTTATTTGCTTAAATCTTTGTTATTTTACACGCTTAATTAACTGTAATTGATTCTGTAAGTCATATCAACATAAATAGGCAAGAAAAGAAGAAGTAAGATAGATACAGAGCTGTCTAGAAAAGTGTAGTAATAAAACAGGGGAGGAAAACTCTTTCTTTCTGAAGTTGACATCTTAAAAGGCAAGTGTTGTGTTACTTAAAATAATTAAAAAATCAAGTCAAAAACGCGTTATTAGCATGCAAAATATAAATATATCCTTAATTAAGCTACATTCGCATGCATTCAACATGAAGATTCCTTAATTTATCGAAAATTGGACGAGATATTAATGAAAGTTTATTTTTCTTCAGATGGCACCGAAATACGAGTTATGTGTTGGACTCAACCGAGGACATAATACCACAAAAATAAAGCAAAAGCAGTACCGAGGAGAACGCAAGGAAAAGGGAATCCGTCAAGCACGCAAGAAGAATGTAAGTTTATTAAAGAAATTGAAAATTGTTTTGAAACAAAAAATTCTAACCACAAACATGATGAAAAACACCTAATCCATTCACAGACATGAAGTCTTAAAACATTTTGTGCGCTAAATGAACTGTAATATTTTTTTACAGACTCGTGAGGCAAACGATCTTGTTTGACTTCTAAATGGTTATAGTTTGGTTCTGACTACATATTCTACACTAATTAATGATTTTATTGCATTTAGTTCTTGGATATTTACAAAATGTTCTTTTTGTATCATTTTAGATTCAAACTAAGCATACAAAGTTTGTCAGAGATCTTGTACGCGAAGTCGTTGGTCATGCTCCATATGAAAGAAGAGCTATGGAATTGCTTAAGGTATCTAAAGATAAGCGTGCACTCAAATTCTTGAAGAGACGTTTGGGAACACACATTCGTGCTAAGCGAAAGCGTGAGGAACTCGGAACAATCTTGGCTCATATGCGTAAAGCAGCTCACAAGTAAATCCACGAATGAGCACCAAATACGCAGAACATTATTTTTTGTGCTTCTTTGAATTAAAATCTTTCAAAAATAAAAGCAAATCCATTAAATAACTAAGGAATCTTATTGTCTTGTCTGTATGTATATTCTATGTCCAATTCCTTTCCAGCATACAAATCTTTGAATAAAGTTTAAATTTTGCAACAAGCATTTGAGTGTGAAATGTTTATGTTAAGGTTTACATCCGAGTATACACAATTTGAGTATACGTCCGTAAAGGCATGTCTGCTCGGGAATCGAGAAAAATTCTGGTTTTTTTATTGCAATTGAAAAAGGAAAATTTAAAGAAAAATGTTTTTAAAAAAGTAAGTATTAAGTTTAAGTATGGAATATAATTCGAAAAGTTGCTCCAAGTCGCACAAAAGTCACAAAGTCAACACCAATTCACAGAAATCTAAGCAAAGTAAGATTATTGCCCGTATATCCAATATAAAAATATAAACATGTCTCTGCATTAATAATTAACTATAGATTCATTAAAAAGCCATGATTCTGGATTATCGCCTAGTGAGCCTAATTACAACTCAGAAAACAGTGAATATTTGGTAAGTTATGGCATATTTGAGGAACTTACATTGTTATTGTTGCTTCTTACGCCTACAAAAAACGTCCAATAAGAATTTTTTATGCATTTTCGTACATTTTTAATGATTTATTGCTGTATGCAGATTCAAGCTTTAAATAAAGACATGAATGACTTAAGAATTCGACTGCAAAAGTCCGAAATGGAAAAGGAGGAATTTAAACACCAAATAAGGAAGCTTTTCGATGAGAAAGACAGCACTCAAAAGCATCTTGAAGCAATTAGTCAGGCACATGAAAATAGAATTACTGAAATGCACTGTATCATCGTTGAGCTTAATAAGAAACTTAAAATACAACATGATACAGCCATTATTGAGGAAACAGAACCCGAAGGAAGCGGTAAATGCCTTTAATTAGTCAATCATGTAAATTGTCCAGAACATGTGGATCGACCGTTATTTGTAACGTAAATTTTAAATTTGAAGTTCGTTTGAAAAATTTATAGCAAAATATTTGAACTTAAAAAATTCGTTGAAATTTTTATAGCAAATATATTGGTTTTTAAAAATAACTGCTAATTCATAGCACCTGGCAAATTTAATGATTGATTATTCATGGATGAAAGAGCAATAAACTAATTGAATTATTCATCTTTTATAATAGTTTCAGAGCTTAGCTTTCAAGAGGGTTCTGTGTATAATTCTGAAATGGAAGCAGCAAATTTCGAGCAACGTGATGAGTCAGATTTGGAACAACGGGACAGAATAATCATGGATAAAGGATCTCAAAATTACAAGCACTTTTTTGAGCTTCACAATCAGGTTCAACAAGTGAATCAACAACATAAATCTAGTCTGTTACCAACAACGAATTTTTCATCACAAGTTCAATGTATGCAAGAGGAAATTCTTCAATTGAGGGCTCAAGTCGCACTTTTACAATCAGAACTAGCATGTCGAGAATATACGTTTGATAAAGTTAAAGTCACTGATGATAGAGACAGAAAGTATGACAATGAGTGGAAAAATGAGGACGAAAATGACAAGTCAAACTACACGAGTGATGATTTATGTGAGACTGCTGACATCTTTGATGTCATAAAGCAACAAGAAAGTCAGTCAATAACTTCATCATTTCCTCCAGATCAGTTACAAGAATTTTCACAGTTGTCAATATCAAGAATAGCAACAAATCAAATGCAAATTAATGATATTAATGTACTTAAGGCAACGCATAATCAATTAGTGGAAGCTCCAATACCAAAGGTTGCAGAACGAGTTAAACTGAAGAGAACGACCGACGATAATTTTATTTCAACTAACGAGTTAACAGACAAAGATGTATGTATACACTTGACTCTATAGGTATCGGATCAATAGACTAATAAATAAAAATTATGTCCAACAGATTTTTACTACTGAAGTTGCCGAACACTTAGTTTCGCAATTTATGCACCCAGAACGAGACGTATCAACAATCCAAGATTTACAAAATGAAGTATTTCGTCTACAAAGACGCGTGGAACATTTAAAGCTCCAAAACTCAGTATTAGTATTAACCCTATCTGAAAGTAAACAGCACTGTGACCATTTATATCTGCTTTGTGGAAAATACGAATCAAATGCTGTCGCTTTACAGGTTAGTTTATAATAGTTCTCAAACTATGTGTCATGGTCCTCTTGTTTTATGGCTTTGAATGTAAATTTTTAAAATTTGAGGCCAGACGCGTGACTAGAACGGTTAATTTTATGAATCAACACACCCCTAAACCTTAAAAAATGTTCCCCCATTCCCTTTACTGACACAAAAATCTGAACTAGATTAATGCCATCTAAATCTGATGAACCTCAAACGCTAGAGTATTAATTATTTTCATGACATTACAGCAAGCTCTTAATTGTAACGACCGTGCTATTGAAGCTTATGATGTTATGCTCGCATTGCTTGAAAGCAAGTAAGTTGTCGCAGGATAAAATTAATAATTGCCTTCAATTAACAAACGTTTATCAATTCCATTAATTAATTTAGATTGGCAATCCAAGACGATGTGGAGTTTGGAGAACAAAATCGGAAGGCAGCTGAAAGTGTTGCTCACTCACTTTTAGATCGTTTAAGGAATGAAAATAGTTTCTATGGAAAATCTACAGCACCTTGGCAAGAAGCGGTTATAATAAATCCAGAGAATGAAAATACACCTTGGACAGAAGAGCATGACAAAATGCTTCGCAATCAAGTGTCTAAATTAAAGGGTCAAAGGGCTTTCATTCAGAATACAGTAGTTATACTTGAATCTCCTTTTAATTTAAATGATGCTATTAACACAAAGATCGAACTAAGTCCGACCAAGTCACGAAGCCGTTCTCGACAAAAGAATATGGATATAGAACAAGCTTTATTACTGCAAGAATTGATGAGTTTACGTGAAGAATTATGTGATTTGAAATTTCAAGCAGAACAATCAGAGAAAGAAAAGCTTTCAGCACATGAGAAATTGAAATCTTTACAAGCAGCACTAGTTCAACTTCAAAGTCAATTGAATGAATCCGAAAACAAGCCAAGAGATCGAATATCATATTCGGAAGCAGAATATAATGCGAGCATCGAGAGAGAACTTTTGGAAGCATTAAGTAGAGAATGTAGGTTGAAAGCACGACTCCAAGGATTGGCTGGATCGCTTGAAACGGCGACAAGAGGAACAGCTATACACTCAAGTACAAAACAAAATACAGTATCTGAATTGAAGCAAGCTAACTTGTCTTAATTAAACCCGAGTATATAATTCACTAGTGTGTAAATATCGATATTACTCATAATCATCACCGTAATATTTTTATATGATTTCAGAACGCGTATAAAAAAATGCCTTTTAAAAACAAACATATTGTATAATTAACATATTATTGTGTTTCTGATAACTTTATCAAAATTGCCAAAATAAGTAACTTAATGAATATAAAGTATATACTAAATACATATTTTACGACAAAATCAATTTTATCAAACAATTAATGCATTGCCTAAGCAAAAACAAAATATATAAAGCAAACCTGCATGTAATTTATAAGCATATATCATCTACATAAAGCTTTTATGTAGCCTATCACAATATTAATGCAATCCCCGAAAAAAAAGCATCGTTATTATATTGCATAAAAGTTAATTACACAAAAAAAAGAAGAAAAATCAGTAAGCTTTTATGGATCATAAGCAAAATTTACACAAATCGTAGAATTAATATGATCATTATTATGTTAAAGTCAAAGAAGGTGGGAAGATAGGTTTGAATTTCTGACTAAGCATTCTGCGATTAAAGTTCCAAAGTTACAGAATCAAAAGATTTGAATTTATTATATTTTAAAAATGTGAATTGAAATCAAACTTTGAACAAAGCGTGCTTTTATCTATCGAACCCCCCCCCAATTTTTCATTAAATATCAAAGAATGTCAACCTCTTTTTGGGTAAAATACCTTTTTATATACCTACAATAATCTTATTTTCTAACACAATTTAACACAGCATTTATTTGGTAGCAGTCAATGAATTTATTGTGTCTGTGTCGACTTTAAATCGTTTAGTAAAAAAAATTTTACATGCAAAATATTCTCATCCAATTTCACATTTTTATTGCTTCTTTTTCTATCACCTTGAATCCTTTAAGTCGAATAGCATTTATTGACAGCTCAAAATACTGTTGGCCATGACCAATTTTTTATTGATTTAAATCAGAAATTAAAGTGCCATTAATTTGTTTTATTGATTTTACGTTATTGGACTGAATCGCTCAAAATTGGTTCCAAAATTTCTATACAAAATGCTTAATTTGTTAAATGTTTTACAATTTGTAATGGTATCATGACTTTTTTTGTTAAATAGAAGGAATTGCAATACTTTATAGTAGCTAATAATTATTTCTGTAGATTGTTCCAAAGAATTGCAAATACATTATTTTATTAAAATTAACATTATAATTATTTTAAAAATAAAAATATGAGATTTAAAACAATTTACTGAATGATTTATTTCTTTTTTACAGAAAACTCAGTTCTCTCAAATCGTCAAACTTTATGCACGAAACAAATAAAATCCCCTAAACCCTCCTCTGATTACTCGACTCTACTTTCTTCAGTCTCTTAAAAAACAGCAGTTTAGCTTCTGAAGAAACTCTAACCCTGAAATGTCTAAGTATGAGCTTATGTTACAAGTTTAGATACTTCGATTATCGAACTAATATCCGATATCAAGTTTAAACTGCTTCAAGCTTTGAAGATGAGGGTAGTATGCTGTTAAAAAGTTCTTTATGCATAGGGAGACCATCTGCGTAGTTTTACAACGGACAGTCCTGTATTTCAAAACCCGGCCTGTATAAATTTGAAAATTTTGTTCCAGGTCCTGTATTTTTTTCACGAAAATTTCCGTTAATTTTCAAATTTTCCTTTGTGTTCTGTATTTTTTGGGAAATTTATCAAATGTCCTGTATTTTCATAAAAATTAGATGGTCACCCTATTTATGCATGAATGAGCCCTAACAGTAAATATAAAGATTAGAATTATGGAATTATAAACTGCACGAGAGATTTTTAAGTCTAGGTACATTTTATATCTGGACTTATAAACCTTACGTGTGGTTTATAATTCCAGAAAATTTATAAATTTTACTTAAAAACTTCTAGTGCGATTATAAGTCCAGATACATTTTTCTGGACTTATAATCCTTGAAAATTATTTTTGAAACCTTTTTAATTTTTTCCTTTAAAGCAATTCTACAAATGAACTTTTCTGATTTTTTTTTCCTCTGTAGTACCTTATATATCCTTTTCAGCTGTTGTATTTCATTAAAATCATTGCAAATAACTTAGTAAGAATATCTTTTATGCTTTAATTACGTAGAAATTCTTTAGAAAAAAATAGAATTTTCTTCAGCATCCGTAGAATTGAAAATTGAATGTCATAGAAACTTTTTGTATGTATCATTATACGCATACTAAATTATAGTAAATTTACGTCTCCGAAAAACTTCAGCTTTTATTTTCCTAATGGGCAATTCTTTGGATGACTTTTGGAAAAAATTTCAGCAAAAAATCGCTATATTAATTAAGTTATTTGGATTCTTCAGACAATAACTCGATGACAGAAATCGGAATTTTCAATTTTCACCATCCGAAGAATCGAAAATTAGAGAAAACTATTGAAATTAACATTGAATAACTTTTACTGAGTTATAGAACAGACAAAAATCTTTAATTAGGTTGCTTTTCATATGCTTTAAGTCATTAATTATTGAAATATTTCAATTCTTTGTATAATTTTCTTCTTTGTATAATTTCTTTGTAATAAAAAAGCTTTTTTTTGTCTTAATCCGTGAAAAAATACAAAATTTTCAAACATATTTTTTCAATTTTGCACTTAATTTGGGTGAGTTGTAACATTTCAATAGATCACTTGTAAAGATTTAATTATGCTTAATGATCTACAAAAATTCAGGCTTATTATTCCTTCGTGGTAATATGAAATTAAAGAAAACATTTTATTGACACAAAACTCATTGACATTGGATTATGAAAGCTCATTTTTTTCAAATTCCACTCATCCAAAGAATTGCCCTTTAAAAAATTATGTTTTAAAATTAAAATTTTATTTTATATAACTTTGCAAGTCAGCTAAGCTTCGCTTAGCATATGGTTGCGATTTAAAGCTTAACAAACATTCTATAGTGTTTTTTTTAAAAAAAAATTATTAACCAAACTTTAATTTTATAAATTTTTATAAACAACATTCTAATCAAAGAAATTATCGGTAATTAAAGTAAAACTTGATTTTTTAAAATCATTTTCTCACGTATTTGGCTTAAGCGTTGGTATTTTACATTAGTTGTAATAAAATTATTCATTTTTCTGTTAATTGGGTGTCTTTCAAGACAATTTAAGTATGCAGAATCATAGAAGATGATAGAATGAACGGAATAATAACCATTTTGATCGAAACCCAACTAGTGTCATAAGAAAAAGCGAAATTGTTTGCCATGAAGTCAACAAAAATGTCATCCATCTTGGATTTTCTACATTTGGGCGATTCTCCAGAACGGTGGAATTTTTCAAAATGAGCTTTTATAATCCGTTGTCAATTATGCTTACATCATAAATATATATTCCGCAATTTCTTTAAATGTAGAATGATTTGAAATTTTAAATTTTTCATCAATAATAATTTACTTTTATAAATGATGAAATTTGTCAAAAGTGTAGTTTGAAAGTTTAGAATTACAGTATTTTCGATCAAAAAATTTGACGTTCGGAGAATCGATTTTGGAGCATTTACATTTTTAAGCAGATCTTAATCTATCATTAAGTGTACATTTAATGCTGCAAAGATGAGGATTTGATATGAAATTTTTGATTACCCTGTTGAAACTTTTACAATATTCTATTTTTGGTCACAAAGCAACGGGCCGAAGAATTGAAATATCTTAATTCTAATTAAATCTAATTAGGACAATTCATGCTTGGACAAATAACAAAATAGATAGGAAATAAAAAATTACATCAGATAAACTGAAAAGCTTGTAAGGTTTAATGAAAAATTTCGACAAAAATTAATTTGAAGTCAAAATTTTTGCAATTTACCCTACTGGAATCGCCCAGAAAAATGTATCTGGACTTATAAGGGGCCGTTCACTTATTACGTTACGCAAAAAAACGACTTTTTTCACCCCCCCCCTCCCCCCTTGTTACAATATGTTACAACTCACAACCCCCCCCCCCTGAACGTTCATAATTTATTTTATTTTGATAATTTTTTATTCTAAAAAGACGGTTTTTTTTCTTAAACATCAAAATACTGTATAGCTTAATAGGTAGGGAGACCATCTGCGTAGTTTTACAACGGACAGTCCTGTATTTCAAAACCCGGCCTGTATAAATTTGAAAATTTTGTTCCAGGTCCTGTATTTTTTTCACGAAAATTTCCGTTAATTTTCAAATTTTCCTTTGTGTTCTGTATTTTTTGGGAAATTTATCAAATGTCCTGTATTTTCATAAAAATTAGATGGTCACCCTATTAATAGGTCATGTTTTAATTGATACTATTAGTATTCTCATGAATTTTTGGATTGAGATATAAAGCAAATTTTTTTTTTTGAAGAAAATTCAAAAATGTCATGAAAAATATTATGCCCGATCGAATTTTGGAAAATTCAATCAACTTTGAATGTAAATATCACAATGATGGGATCATATTAATCATCATATGAATGACAGATTTAGAGAGATTTACTTTTAAACTTATGATTGATATAATTTTTTGAAAATTTCCATAAATTATGATTGTATTTTAGTCTTGTAAACCAGTTTTCTATTGATTTGTTACTTTATATAACAAAAACTATGTATTGCTTAGCTATCAAAAGTGATCTGGACATTCATAAATCATTAAAAGGTGGAAAATTTAAAAAATGTTTTTGGTGTGAATTTGTAAACAAATTTTTTTCGTGAACTTTTTTTTAAAAGACAGACGACAGTTACAACGTTACATACTTCTTGACACCCCTCCCCCCCCCCTATGTTACATTTTGTTACAATTTTTCAAACCCCCCTCCCCCCTAAAGTGCGAACGTAATAAGTGAACGGCCCCTAATCGCACTAGAAGTTCATAAGTAAAATTTATAAATTTTCTGGAATTATAAACCACACGTGAGGTTTATAAGTCCAGATATAAAATGTATCTAGACAGGGGCGTAGCCAGGGGGGGGGGGCATAGGGGGCCCGGGCCCTCCCTACGAAAAACTGATAATTGTTTTATTAAGTACACTCATAGAAATAATTGTATGGTTTTGAGGAAAATCAAATATTCAAATATTTGATTTTTCCGATTTGTATGAAATTTTAAATATTCGATATTTGATTTTCCTCAAAACCATACAAATTCTAATATCGTGTATTTATAGAGAAGAACCATTTAATGTAGAGGAAGTGATGAAAGAAATGTCAAAATCAGCACGATAAATTAACTTTAATGTATGAATAATGAATTAAATATTTAAACTTATGAAGAATGAATATAGATTTTCCCCCTTAAAAATTCTAGACCTAAAAACCTCTCGTGCAGATTATAATTCCAGCTGTATTTGCCCCTGGACTTATAAACTGCACGTGAGGTTTTTAAGTCCAGGTGCAATTTGTATCTGGACTTATAAACCTTTATTGACTTTGATTTTCTGGACTTATAACCTCTGGACTTATAACCCAGCATCCATATTATGGACTTCAAGAACATAGTTTGTCAAATACTTTTCGAAAGACACCTGATTATTTATCTTATACCAGAAATATATTGGAAATATAGCATAGCTTGTTTAATTGTGTGCTGAGACCTAGTCATAGAGAGTTTCGTGAATTTAAACAAAGTAAATTTTAAAATGTTGAATAAAGAAAATTACTTATGGTATATCCTTAAAGCTAGGTCTTTTTGATATATTTCGTCTTGAATTTTATTGAGAGACAAAGTAAAGGACTTTTAGTGGATGTAGACAGATGCAAATTGATCACGTTTAACAAAGACAAAGGATCTTTGATTGAACAAGATTTTTCAGGAACAAAACAACCTGTCCTTTGATGGATTACTTAAACGAAGTGTCAACAGATCAAATTCTACTTTTTAACATCGGTAATCTGCTCCTGCTTTAGCTGTGACCTTCAAAAAGTGACAAATAATCCCACTCTGTCCACACATGAACTTCAATTGATCATCACTAACTCCCAAGCTTAATCAGAAAACAAAAAAAAAAAAGCGTTTCTATCACCTTGTTATCATTAATCGATCAAATAAAATTTAATAAAGAGAGCAAGTTGCCTAACCGATTAATATTAAGTTATATCTATAGCACATTAGCATACCTGAATATTTATGGCATATAATAATGATAAATCTTATCACATGTCAACAGAGAGCGAAAGAGAAGAAAAGTAGAAAGGGGATCATTGAACCATTTCTGTCACATGCAAAAAAGCCGATCGTTAAAGCAGCGACGAGCAGCAAAAAGAATAAACGTGAAAAGTCAAAAAAGAGAAATGATAAAGTTACTTTATATTCTCTTCCAATGTGCGTTTTGCACTTTAAATATGTGTGCGATCTCACAGAACTTTTATATTGGTATGTATATGAAGGCACACACATGTTTGTACTTTTTTTGGGCAACATTGAGAAGAAATACACTCAGTATTGAGATAGACTTCAGTGGAGTAACATTAACAAAAAAATTTATATAAAATTAACTTTTTTTTTTTGGAAGTTTTGTGGAATTTTTATAAAGTCGCTGTGCCTTCAATCGTAACTTTCGGAAGTTAAATAATTTAAATCGCCTAAACCTGAATATCATTAAGTAATTGAACTTTAGAATTAATTTTTAGTGCTTTTACTTGATTTTGGTGATCATAATTCAGTGACAATTAAATCGATTCCGATTTATATCAATATTGATCAACGACTTGATCAGCTTTATGGCAAAAAAAATTAATTTTAAACTTTGTTAGACTATTTTTACTAAATGTTAAAAAAGAATCTGTAGAGACTTACTTTCTATGATTTAAAAATAGCATAATCTTGAGAGTTTCGGAAACACATAAGCATTTTTTGAGATATTTTTTTTTCTCTCCTCGTCATGCACATTTCTTCTTCTTCCTAAATAATAGCAACAGTATGAAGAAATCGAATTCCAATTTTTTTTTTCTTTCCTTCCTTCTTCTTAACTTCTTCTTTTTGGTGTATATGTTCGCTACAATTAAAAGACAAAAAAACAATAATATTATCAATCCTACAGTGCTTTCAAGGACATTGCCTAAAACAACAAGTTTTATTGCCAACATGAATTGAAGAGGCTTTGAACCGGAACCGGCACATTATAAAAGAAATAAAAAAAAAATGAGTGTATAGACTGTGTATCTTTAAATAGGTGAATTCGTTTGATAACATTACGGACGACTGCTGTACTATTTTCATTTACCAACTGTTGTTCATTTATATATCAAATTATGTGTGATAGTAAGCTTGGGTTACTAGATAAAAGCAAGTGGATACATAGAGTTATTAATTGAAGGAAGCGCGTGTATATATCTATTAGTTTTTATGTGGCATATATATTAATTAATTAATAATTGCTTCTCAGCAGTGATGATGCTTCCTTCATCAACTTTCTGTCTTCTTAAATAATATAAACATAATGATATCTGGAATTTCCTATGTGGTAAACTTACTTACTTTCAACTTGATCAGATGACACTTGTCACTTTTTCACTTTTTCATTTCTTATCGTTTTTAACTTCTACGCTTGCTACACTCTCTTTTAAAATCATACAATATGTTTATTTTCAAACTTTTTAAGTAATTATCAGCTTCGTCATCATCAGTGAATGGCTTTTTGGTTTTTTTTTTTCTTCTTTTGGAAAGACGCAGATACACTCGTGATACACATTGAAATTAAAACACAAAAAAAAGAGTGTTACGTCATGAAGCAACGTTTGTTTGTGCCTCTAAAGGGGCTCGACAAAAGTATTATTCTATTTTCAATTCGTCATTCGACAGATATGAAAAGTATTTTAAAGCCACCGGATGTGGGTGAATTTTCTGTGTATTTCTTGGTACGACGATGATGATAATTAATGAAAAAGTTATTGAAAATTTCCGTATGTGAATGAATACGTAAAACTTCTTTTCTAATCGCTCTTATCTCCAGTTCGAGCATTCAAATGTCTTCGGTTTTCTTTCAATTTTTAAATTTAAACGGTTTTAAAGATTTCGAATATTTTGAACATGTCACTTGCTGAATTTCAACGGTTTTGTAAAATTTGAATATTTTGCACACAAGTTTTTGAACTCAAAGTTTAACGGCTTTCTGTAGGATTTGAATCTTTGGACTTAATCAATATGAAATGTGATAAAAAGCAATTCCTTTGAGAGCTATTAAACCTTAATTCCATTCTAATCTCCTTCGCTAATTAAAATAATAAATAAAAATCTTTATTTTGTCTATCATACAACGAGCATTTCTTCATGATTAGAATATACGACATGCTCCACTTTAAAGACCTCTAGCAGAGATAACGATTCATCCAGTAAACATGAATAAAAGTAAATAAAAATGCAAAATAGTGATGCTCGTAGGCTAGAATTTCATTCATAACAAGATTATTGAATGAAAAGTATGCACCATGCGATTTAATGGTCGTGTTAAAAAGAGATAAACTTTTTTGTTACTGATTCTTTTTAAGGAGAAAGAATACAAAAGAAAGAAGAATATGTATAAAAAAATACACGTTGCACTTTTTATCTGTTTCTCTGTCTGGTCTGTATGTATGAGTTAAAATTCGTAGAATTTTAAAAATAATAAACGCAATGTGAAACTTGAAGACCATACTTGGTATCCACATTTGCATACTATTTTTAACTAGTACTGTGTCATACATTATTTCATATATGACAAGACATTTAATCGACGAGCACATGTGACATTAAAATCAAACAATATCGATTTGGGGAATTTAGCGCCATAACATTTTAATGTCTATTGCCTTCAATTATCACAAGATTGTGTAGGAAAATTGAAGATAAAACTAGCTGAAAAAAGTTTTCTACAACCTCAAACATATTTCTTATTTCCAATTAAAATAATCTTCTGTATAAACAATTTTACTTAAAAATCTCTGGTGCTATTTTATTACAATACATGTACACACGCAGTACATAATATACACACATTAACACATCGTACAAGAATGATCAAATGTGATCTGTTCAGGCACGTTTCTTTTCGCATTAAATTCTTATTGGAATTCTTATATTATGTGTCTACCAATTAAAATTCATGCTCCTATATACCATCTGATTGATAAATCAAGTCGGCAATTCACATCTATACTTAATAAATAAATTGATCACTCAATTTATCAAAAAAGCATATCCAATCAGTTTGAATCAGTTACAGCAAGACAACTTTAATGCTCGTGCTGAAGCCATAATGTCAATTGACTCTTGGCTTTCTTTTTTAGCACATTCTTTGAGGATGCGTACAGATTAGAAAATGTAGCGTTCAGTATCGTCATTAATCGTCTACGACACAAAATAATTAAATTCACGTGAATGAAGAAAACCAGATATTAAGCTTAATCATATTGATTGCTCATCCAATTCGCAGAGTTTTAAAAACTATGTGTATAATTAATTCTCAACTGGAAGTGAGAAATTTCCATTCTTGTGCATCATTAAGCGGTTGTTCAAAAATGATGACTTCATGGGGGTTAAAGAGGGGGTCTCAGGTACTGTAAGACACATTTTGTATACAAATTTTGGAACAGACAGGTTGGAAGGCTTTAAAAAAACACAAAATAAATTTTAGGAGATTTTGCACATCTCTCCTTTTGAGCTGTCATTTAAAACCATGTTGATGGCTAATAAGTTGATAAACAAGCACATCAGATATTTGTTACATACCAACATTCCTATTCGCATTCCTCTAGTTAATTAAAGACAAATTCTTATTAATCATGTATGTACCTACTAGAGCCATTACTCTTGTGCATATCAAAGAATATCTGTGCATTTGTGCATTTTATACACTCATTCAAATCTTTTCAATTTTTCAATTAAGACGTGTGACTGCGTTGAGTATATCTGATAAGATATCACTTAAGTATGCATAGTATTATGTGTATCATTGTATATGCGTACGTAAATATAACAAGAGTAACATGAGATGTTATTAATCAATCTAATCTCAAGTATTGTTTTGAAAACTAGTTTGAACATGTATTTTGGCGGGATAATCAATAAACATTAGTTATGGATTGAAATCGAATGGTTCATGTCCTATTTAGAATAATTTATAAGAGAAGGGGGTCATTCCAACTTTTGAGATCTTTTAGTTTAAAATCTCATAAATGCTTCATGAGTAAGCGAATCTCGATCAGCATATTATTAAAAATTCTTGATGCACCTAGAACACAATAGCTACTAAATGTAACCTTATGACGCTCAAACAGAAACTTTGTAAACAGTCTAAACGTCATTCTTGATAGATTGACAGGAAAATAATAATCAACAAGGATGATATTTACTAGCGTATGCCGTTCATAAAAAAATTCATCAAAATTCTATAAAAATCTTTGCTGCCCTTAAAAGTCTCTCAAAGAAGCATGACTCCTGAAAATTCGATGAAATTAATTCGACATGTGTGTTTCCGATAGCTATAAAAATTATTTCCCCCAAATTTGTTACAATGTAGCTATTCTGATAAGGACGGTGTCGCTGAATACCAAAATGATGTAAATCCTATTAGTGTAGTCTAAGTCAATAGTTTGCTTGTGAATTAATATATTTTGTGACGTTTTGATGAAATATTGATAAGAATATTCGTTATTTGTGTATTACTAGCGATAGATAGTGGAAGCTCAAATGGCAGAAAATGACGCGTCAACGCAGAAAAGTGGGAATGAAGTTCCGAAAAATGGGAACATGAACAAGAATAAACAAGGTTTAAAGCTTGAAAATTTAAAGAAATCTGAAGAGGTGGAACCAACAATCACGAAGGCTACCATTATAATACCTCCCGACGGTGGATTTGCATGGATTGTTATGGTAAGAAACTGCAAATTTTTTTTTATGTCCATGATCATGGTCATAATAAATCAATTTCCTATATCTTTTAGCTCGCAAGTTTTTGCTGCAACTTAGTAGTTGATGGTATAGTTTTTTCATTCGGTATGTTCATTGAGAATATTCAAACGGATTTAAAGGTGACAAAGGCAGAAGTAGCTCTTGTTGGATCACTTCTCAGCGGATTTTATTTGATCATCGGACCTTTTGTATCTGCCTTAACAAATCGATATGGATTCCGTTTAGTGACAATTTCTGGATCTTTAATTGCATCACTTGCCTTTGCATCATGCTTCGTTGTACCCGAAATTTACTATTTGTATATCCTATACGGAGTTTTTGGAGGAATTGGATTTTGTTTCATTTACATGCCATCAGTTATTATCGTTGGATACTATTTTGAAAAATGGAGACCATTAGCAACTGGAATCGCATTATGTGGATCAGGTGTTGGTACATTCGTTATGGGACCTATTTCGAAGATTTTAGTGGAGAAGTATGAATGGCGTGGAGCTCTTCTGATTCAAGCTGGCATGATTTTACTGTGTGCACTTTTTGCTATGGCTTATCGTCCTATCGAACCAACAATTGTAAGTGATTTAAAGGATGATGAAGTACCTGAAAAGAAGACTTTGATTGGAGATAGTCTTCCATCACCAGCTTTTACTAAACCATTGCCAGAAGGTCGTTTTGCTTATTCTGTGCCAAATTCAAGCCACAATACGTGGATGGGAACAGCCAATAATACTACTTATCCTACGGCTGCTGAGATTTTCAGGTAAATCCCCTTTCTAATTTAATGCGGTTCAGTTTAACTTTAACATGATGTTTGCTTCTTTTTATAGAGGAAGTGGTGTAAATTTGGAAAGAAGGCCGTCTCAAAACTTTGACAAGCTCACGCAAATTAACATGAGCTCAACAACGAAAAAATTGGAACAACTTAAGCAAGGACAAAAGAGATCAGGTCATGCAACTCCAACAGAAGATTTGTCATATCCACCACATGTATTGTCACTGAATGCTCATGAATTGGGACCAGTCGGTGAGGCAGAAGAAGCTGAGGAAAATGAAAATGGAACTCTTTTGGAAAAGAATGAAGTTAAAGTTGTTGTCAGTGCTTCATCTGGTCGTCGTCATACTGTTTCGGGAAGAAAGGGTGGAACTGAAAGTCAAACAAATTCAAGACGTGGAAGTCGTCAAGACATCAGCAGACCAATGTACAGAGATGACATTTTCTTCTCGGGATCATTAGCCAAACTGCCACAATATCGCTCTCAAACTTCTTTAGGATATCACTTGAGTGTTACGCACATGCCAACCCAACAGGATATTGAAGAGGAAGAGAATCTCGATTCAAGATGCACAGTTTGTCCAGAAGCTGTACGAAGAACATTATCGACTATGTTGGATGTCTCTCTTCTCAAGAATTACTCATTCATTTTATTAGCACTTAGTGGTTTCTTCACAATGTTAGGATTCTTTGTTCCATTCATATACATTGCCGACCGTGCCAAAAAAGCAGAGATTGATGAAGATACAGCAGTTTTCTTCCTTTCAGCCTTGGGAATTTTCAATACAATTGCTAGGATTGTTTGTGGATGGTTGAGTTCATTTGAAGGCATTAGTGCTTTGCATTTAAACAACATCTTTATAACTGCTGGTGGTCTTGCTACAATGTTCAGTGGATATTTTATGGATATCCCATCACAATATGTTTATACAGCAATTTTCGGTATCACATGCGCCTGTTTCTCTGCTTTACGTTCAATCATTGTTGTTGACTTATTGGGATTAGAAAAGCTTACAAATGCTTTTGGAATTTTGCTTCTGTTTCAAGGTATCGCAGCTATTTTCGGAAGTCCATTAGCCGGTAAAATATTTTTAAGTTATATTAAAAGCTGTTGTTTAAAATGCTTGAATTTTGACATTTCAGGATATCTTTTTGAAATCACCGGAAGTTACGATTTGCCATTCTTGGTCGCTGGAGGACTTATCACATTTTCAGCCGTCTTATGTTATCCATTAAATATCATCAAAACCTGGCAAAGTGCAGGCAATCAACGAAAGATCGCTGCATCTGCTTAAAAGATTTTTTTTTTATCACATTTACGTTTAAGCATTTTTTTCTTTGCTTGTTAATGGTGCTTAATTTTTTTTTGAAAAAAGTGCCAATATTCTGTTAATTTTTACTTATTGCTGCTTAAATTTTTAAAGCGTAGAAGTAATTTTTAGCCTAGTTTAGTCACATGTAAATAAGCATAAAATTGAAAATATTAATGTTAAGCGTCATATTTTAGTTTATAAAACGATCCATAAGAATTTCATTAAAGCAGTAAAACATCTATCAGATTATTTCATGCATGAGACAGACGGCAATTTCTTCTATGTGTGAAATGATACCTGTACATTATGAAATTACATTCTATGTTGTGATAATAAGTTTTGTTCATAACATAATGAAAAGTCGAATATTCAACGATATTGCTAGTTTTCAGACTGAACTAAATTTTTTTTTGTGTTGAAAAGAATACCTCATGATGATTTGGTAGTAATCAGTATCTACTTACTATACAAATAAAATAATCAAATTTACTAAATTTACAGCATTCACGACTTCAGGCTTTACCATCATTTTTTTCGTTTTTGTAAAATTTTGATTTTTTGAAGAAAGTTTTTAATAAAGAAAGAAACTGTTTTTACACTATGCTTCATGCTTTTTATTATTCTATAATGACTGTTTAATTTTTATAAATTATGATCGACACGTGGTTGATTTTTTTTTGCACAAATTTTATAGCATTTATCAACGGTTTTTAAAAATTCAAATTTTGTGCCCTTGAAGCAATTATTTGCTATAAAAAGTTTGCTGATTCAATATTGTGAGTTTTTAAAATTATGGAGTTTCATGCTGTAGTCTTTGCCGCTGGTGTAGGAACAAGGTTTAGGGACATCGTTGGAAGTAGACCTAAATGTCTGTTAACTGTTGGAGGATTTCCATTGTAGGTTTTTGTCATTTATGTTACTTTTTCAAAATTTTCATGCAATATTTTTGTTTTGTTGCTTAATTCTTCATTCTTATCTCATTTCAGGATATTCTATCCATTAAACTTCTGCTCGAAATATGGGTTTGAAGGTGAGACAGTATAGAATAATTATAAAAACTTGATTGCTAATTTATTGACACTTCCCAGATGTAACAATAATTGTACTGGAATCACAGAAGAATGAAATTGCTCAAAGAATATCTAAACTACCTCTTCAGAAGCTGAAATATGATTTTGTATGCTTAAATCAAGAATCACAAGAAGATTATGGAACTGCTGATGCATTGAGATTAGTCAGTGAGAAAGTTAAAAGTGATGTGATTCTGATTTCCTGTGATACAATCACAAATATCGATTTCTTCCCTGTTCTGGATCTTTTTCGAATGAATGATGCTTCATGTGTAGCACTTTTTGATAAAGGAATCGAGGCATCTGCTACTCCAGTCGTGATTCCTGGCCCAAAAGTTAAACAACAGAAAAGTGAACGTGATTTAGTTGGAATTGACAGTGAAAATAGTCGTCTCTTATTTTTGGCATCGACAACTGATTACCAAGAGAATCTTTCATTGCCGGGGCACTTGTTGAGATCACACGGAAAAATGACAATTCACAGTAATCTTAATGATGCACACATTTACTTGCTTAAGAAATGGGTTGTTAATTATGTTGCTAATTCTGATAAATTTTCAACTGTGAAAGGAGAACTTTTGCCGTTTATCATAAAGAAGCAACTATCTCGTCCATTAAAGAGTTTAACATCTGGCTTTTCGGAAGTGAACTTCGACCAAAATGACATTTTTGAGCACATCAAACAAAATGAATTAGATCAAAAAATCCTCCAAACAAATTTAAATACATTTTCACGCCTTAAAAGATCAACGAATTCTGAATTGATTCGTTGCTTTGCATACGTTGCACCAGAAGAGACATTCTGCATGCGCGTAAATACGTTATTGAACTATTGTCAAGTTAACAAGAAGATAGTGTCACTATTCCATACATTAGCTGATCCTAACATAGCACTAGTTTCACGCAATGCAACAATTCAATCAACTCAAATTAGTGACAGTGCTGTAGCTGAAAATTCAACAATTGCTGAGAAAACTTCGATCAAAAACTCAATATTTGGAATCGGATGTAATGTTGAGCAAAAAACACGAATCAGCGACAGCATTTTGATGAATGGAGTTACGGTTGAAGAAAGAGTCATACTTGAAAACTGCATAATATGCGATAAGGCAGTCATCAAACAAGGATCAACGTTAAAGAACTGTTTAGTTGGACATAACTTTATTGTTCACGAAAATACTGTTGCTGATAAGAAAACATTGTCTACTGGAGAAGGCTTTATGGAAATTTAAAGAACTTCCAAGATGTGACTAGATTCATTCTAGCATTTTTACATCAAAATAACTTCATCAATAAAATTGATTGAAATTCATTTAACTTTGTAGTTTCAATCAACATAATTATGGATTTTTGTTCTAGACCGTTGTTTTAGGAGGGACTGGATGCGAGACATAAAAATTAAAGCATATTCAAAGAAGCTTGAAGTTAATTCAGCATAAATTCACCTCAAATGCTCGCAATTTACACCAAAAATTACATTGTCAAATGTTTTCGGAAATTTTCTTTTTATTTCTGTTAATTTGTCGCTAGCAAATTTTCTTAATGTAGGCTTTAATGGCGATGAATGTGAACAATCAAGAAGAAATATAAAAATTATCTGTTTATTCGCAAAATGAAGTAATAAAACAATTTACTTTAGTCTTTGCGAAAAAGTCACATGGATTATGATCGTTAAACGTCTCAAACTTATGAAGACTCTTGAAATTGTGGCTCACAAAGCGCATTTTCTCGTAATCACTGGCAAAAGTCAAATTTGTCATAAAACGATTGAAATAATTTTGAATTTTAACGGCTCAAAATGATTCAAACTGCTTCAAAATTTGTAAAAATATTCAAAAAAAATAACTGTTAAATAAGTTTAATGTGCATACCTAAGTTGAGCGATGATACTTAAAAGGTAGGAAGATTAAAGTAATCGTAAGCAAATTTCCATAAATTACAATCATCCAGAATTGCTTAAGTCACTAATTCAAGGATATCGCAATCATAAAATAAGTGCCTAAGAAATGAGGATTACTTTTAACATACAATTATTTTCACTCGCTTAAATTCACCATCAATTACCCTGAATACCAATTATGTTAATTAATTGCGTACCTATGATGAAAAATTTAATTGAATTTAAAACTCTTTCAAAAATTATTGCATTAATTTTAAAACTTAATGAATGAAGTGCCACAAAAATGGATATGAAAATGCATAACCGGAAATTTATTAGAGCAAGCAGGTCAAAATGATCATAAAATAAAATATAGACGATACCTACACGTTAACTACAAAGAAGAAAAATCAACAGCATTCAACATCCGAATTGCTTTAACTTTTCATTTAAATCATAAAAAAAGAGATTTTTTGGATTTTCAAGGTTTTTAAAAATGTTTCAAAAGCTCTTTAACAGAAGTATTGCAATAGTCATAAGCCTAGCAGATGATTTAATAATGACTGCGTTATAAAAATAAAATCTCTTTATTTGAAAAGCAAATGAGGTCTGCTGTTTGTCACATGCTTAATTGACAGAAGGTAAAATTTCTTGTAGTAGGCGTGAAAAATGATGCAGCATATAGTCAATGAAGATCATAGTAATACAAATTGAATTAGTGCATTCAGTCATATGTAGGACTCAAATATGAAGTAAGTCAACATTTTCATTATGAACTTAACAAGTGTGAGCCAACAGACAGTTTGTCAAGTGCATGCAGGATTTGTATTTTACTTTCGGCAAGTCTACCATTTAGGACGAAGTGAGTCTGAAGTAAGGAGACATCTTAAAAGATCAGTTGTATTCGTTGTCATATAACTTCAGCATGGGCTTAGCAAGAATGTGATTTTATTTCACTTGAACCCACCCCCTTGGCGAAAATCAAGTCAGATTAGTATCAGGCCAATACTTTAACGATCCAGACGGATTAGATTAGGGGCCGTTTACTTATTACGTTCGCATTTTAGGGGGGAGGGGGGTGTTTGAAAAATTGTAACATAGGGGGGGGGTCCACCTTTTTAATGATTTATGAAAAATTGGAAAAATTATCAAAAGAAAATAAATTATTAACGTTCAGGGGGGGGGGGGGGGTGAAAACAGTCGTTTTTTTGCGTAACGTAATAAGTGAACGGCCCCTTACAATCTAATCAGCTTGAATCATGTTTCATCAATTGCATGAAAGATTAAGTAAGAGTGCCTCGATGCTGCTCATTTCACAAGAGAAAGAATAGAAAGGTTCGCACCCAAGCATGTCTACGGAAGACAAAAAAGAATAATCAACTGAAAAATGTCACCTTTCGCAAATCATAATTATGCTGCATAAAATAATCAATTTATATAAAATTGTGATCTATTGGCACTCATGATTCGATTTTATATAACCGCCAGCAATCATTACCTGCAATATTAAGTTTCTATCTACTAAAGTCATCATGACATCTTACATCCTGAGCAATTTGCTTAAACATACAATTTACTAGATTACTTAATAAAAGATTAGATTTTTGTCTCAGCTCAATGGCTCTGCTGCTAGAAGAAACGTCAACATTGTTGAAAAAAAAAGTTGAGACATTTACTGCGATCGCTTGGTTACCTAAAAGGAAGTTGCAACTTTTTTTTCGACACAACTCGATCAATTCAATGTTAACTGAAGCCTCCGCTGTAAAAACCATTTTTTTCACATAATTTTGGATCGTTAGCAGCTTTAGATTTATATAGGCAAGCATAATCTAGCATGTCACATGATGTCTTTCTTTGACATTTCGCAAATGACTCGATTTCCATATTATGAAGAAAAAAAAAATTAAAAAATTTACATGCATAGCCAGTAAAATTACCAAGTCTATTGCAATAATTTTAGCCGTAATTATTATTTCAGTTTAAAAAAAAGTCATTGAGTCTATGTGCTTGTGTACTCGATATATACTCATTGAGATTTATTTCTTTCCTGTTATCTGATACACAAGAAATTAATTTAAAATCAATTGCAATTTTTTTTTTGCTCTAAACACACACATTGTGACTTTATACTTAACAAATCATTGAAAAATTTTTAAGTAGTTTTTGCAAATTGTAGATTAAAATTAAGATCTACAATACTGGTTGTTATTGCACACTCTTGGTGTTATGAGGAAGTGATTCTAATTAAAGATTATCATTTAAAATCAATAGCTGAATTTTGAGAGATGCTACTCGAGAGGTCAGATTCTTTGACATATGCTTGAATCAGACAACTCATCCATTTTTTTTTTGGATGTTGAAGAAACTGGTTGGATTTTTATAGAAATAACTTTAAAGAGGTTATATCTTGCATTTAAAAGCTAGCTAAAGTCATCAACAGAGTCATTTTTTAAGGAGGCTGTTCATAAAGGACATCCATCAAAATAATTCTCTCCAGAGAATTGATGAAGTTTATTATCCAGTTTTCAAATACCAAACGGGTCGATAAAATTTGAATAAATTTCCCCTATTCTCTGTGACGTCCTTTATAAACCCCTTAAGCATTCACTGATCATCAAAATTCCTAAGGGATCGTTCACTTATGACGTCCGATATTAACGGTCATTTTTCAAAAAAGGACAGTGGAATTCCAGGAATTTGTATTGTTATTTTCTTGCTGACCCCCCCCCCCCCCCCCTCCTGGACGTCATAAGTGAACGGTCCCTAAACCACTAAAAGCGAGAAATCACTGAACCATTGTAGCTCACAAAAGCTTTATGGAAGAGGATGAATGAAAATTCAGCACATCATGTGTGGCCTTTGCATCATAGATTAATATTCATTGCCATTAATCGCAATCATAAAGTAATTCACAAAAAAAAAAATTCATCCGCATTAATAGGATTTAAGTCAGAATAATATTCAGTATACGTATATCGATGACATTTAATTCGTGATTTGTTTTGCTCTGTGCATTATAATACGATCAAGTGCAAATTGTTTTCGAAATCTATCTGTGCTGGGAACAATTTAGAATGTGCACCGACTGCTTTTTCCTCTCGCCGAACCACCACACAACAAATGCAGATGTTATCTGGGATAACGGACTCACATGTAAATAGATACTTTGCATACATTATAGTACAATTAAGCTTCTTGTGATACCATTTTCCGCATTTGACTTGTGCACAAATTTTTCTTTCCTTCTTCTATCTCTTCTCATATTGCCAGTGGATGTATTGCATAACTACAATTTTTAATTTTTTTGTTGTTTCTGCTGGTAGTTCCAATAGAAGTGAAAAGAAAAATGGGACAAAAAGATTATAATATGTAGTGCACATAATATGCATGAATGGCGCGATGTAAGAGACATAGAATTAAGTCTGTTTTATTAATGATATATTTTGCGTACAACAGCAGGATGTGAGATCTTAACATTCTTTATAGCAGATCAATAGAACGAAAAGAAGTCAATTTTCATAATAAAAAAAAATCTTCTTGAAAGGTGTGGCATGTTTTTGTTCTAAGTGCGTCGACTGTGCGTCTATTCTTTAATTAATAAAACCTGTCACCAAGACACAAGATTAATTTACTTCTTTAATGACAATCAATTCTCTCACAAACTATCGAGTTGCTATCACTTTTGTTTCACAATTCTAATCTCAGACATGACTAGTTGCTTAACTTCCAGTATGTTGCGGTTAGAAATACTTTAGAAGATCTTAAAAATAAGTTTAAATTTCATCATTTTAGGGGGATCCTAGGTTTAAAGGAATGATTGTGTCATGAATTTCCAGAAACAGAGTCTAGGTTTTGACAAACATATTATAATTGTCTTGGCTCTGAAAGTTAAAGGAGGGTCTGAACAGATTATGTATCCACAAAGAAACAATCTTAGGACTTCTTATCACCAAAACCACCACGGTCAAAAGCTGAACAATTGAGCACAATTTTTTATGTAAGCAAACTTTTTGTCACAACAGCAAGAATGCGGTCTATTCATTTGCTTGCGGTTGCTTTTGAATATTACCTCATTTATGCTGGCTAGAATTGTATGGTACAGTTGTCATTGAATATCGAACTTGTGACATTTTGCACAGAGCATCTGAAGCTGCTGCAACAATAGCCAGTCACACATTGATGAGCAAGTGTGTGAAACCAGTTATAAAGTGGCACAAGAAGATGTATTTTTTTTATAATGTCTATAGATATATTAATAATAATAATATCTCGTATCCACTAGAAGAAATCAAATAGATACATTTTTGTGTCTTTTTCGGAATCGCGCACATCAAAAAAATGCTCTTTTGTATACACAGCAAGAGAAACCACAGGAACTTGATGCTATTTTCAAATTCACATGTGTATATTTGTATCAAGAGATGAATCATCCATTAAG